GGTAGTTCTGCCGAGCCAGCGCCGAGACGACAGCAATATAAAGAGTGACATTACAGTGCGATTTTAATGATGTGAATATTTTCTAGAAATAAAAATTCCAGATACAGCATTTAAAAAATTCATTTTTCATCAATTCTTGCACCAGACAACACATCAAGATGACATTTAATAATAGTAACAATAATTTAAGCTCCTTATTATGTAGCCGAATCTGTGCTGGTTTGTATTGGCCGCCTCCAGTATTTACTTTGTTTTGCCTCCAGCTAGCGCCGTGACGTAACTGTGACGTCGGCGCAAAAGGGGTCTATTGTTTGATTAAGTTGCCGGTATTTATAGTTGCTAGCACATTTGAAATTCAATATGAATCTGTGCGATCAATTAATGAAATATTTTTCTGTAGTAAAGACTGTATAAGTATTGTAACATTTTATATAGAGAACTAGGAGTGACTCTCTTTACATTATAAATGTATTTTAAAAAGATATAAATACTTTTATGGTTATACATTTACATTATCAACCTGAATTAGGCCGTGTGTCCACCAAAGCGCTTTTCCACGCCCCTGGCGTATGTTTTCAATGGGAGCGCCGCGTTTTTTAAACCCCATGAGCGTGACGAGGCGCTGAGCGTTTTTTTCGCGCTGAAGCACCGAGCGCCCAGCGTTTTTACTGGTCGCTGGGAGTTGAAAAATGTTCAACTTTGGATAAAACGCAGCACTCATCACTGTCACATTTTACCCAGCCGTCCAATCACAGTGGAGGAGGGGCGGGACTAAACCACACCGACCAACTGTCACAACATTCAAACTGCTGCATATATTCTGTATCATAGCAACGAAACGTCTCAACAGAAAAAACGCTGCGCTGCCAAAACGCTCTCAAGCGCCCAAAGCACGGCGTCTTCAGCAGAGCGTCTAGCGTTTTCAGCTGGCTAAAAACGCTTTAGTGGACACACGGCCTTAAACTGTTTTAAAGGGGTCCTATTATCCACGTTGCTGTTTGAGCATAAAAAAAGATCTGCAAGGTTACAAAGTCCATTCCAAGGGGAGATATTTTATTTAACAGAATCCCTTTTTTAAAGGAGCTGTATGCAAGTTTGTGGCCAAAACTGGTACTGCAATCACTTTCAAATTAGGGTTTATCTATATATATTATATATATACATATATATTCTAATACACCACAAAGACAAAATCAAGACTTCATTAAAGGGCATAATAGGACTCCAACTATCTAAATGTTTATTTATTTATTTGAAGGGATTTATTAATTTATTATTTTATTGTTACAATTAACCATGCCTTTACATGAAAATAAAATTTTAAATATCTAATTATTTATCAAGTTTGAAAGGTGATTTATTGGTTTATAATTTTATTGTTAAAACTTTGCATACTGCAAAACAATGAAACAGTCTAATTCGGCATCATATAACTGACGATAAAGCGTCAGTTAGATGACGTCTTGGGATGAGAATGTGTTGCATAATTTTGTCAAATTCAACTATGATTTATCCATTTATAATCTAATTTTGGTTAATAAACTGCTAATTGATTTTTTCGTTGTATTTGTAAGTGGTCCTCCACATTTACTGTGCTGATGGTGAATCGTTGATAGCGTGTTTGTGTGAAAATAAACCACACTGATTTCAAAACCAATGGTATATTAAAATTCACCCCGGTCTCATTTTATCATTATAGCAAAATAAAGCAAAAGATCAAATAAATTACATGGTTAAAAATTCAAGTTCCACAAATGCAAAAAAAGCACACAGTCCTTTTCAGAAACACCTCAGATACACACACGCATCTCCCCTGGAGTGTTAATACCTTTTCATACACATTCACTGCTATTTTCCACTCATCTCAAACTGGTTCAAAGCTGCATCATAAAGCACGAGTTGAGTATACCAAGACTCGTTTATTAAACTAGAATATAGGACTTGTATTTTTTATTTATTCAAATGCTCTCCTAATTGAACTGAATCTATCTGATAAATGCACAAATCGATCAAAATGACTTTGTACATTTGTCAGTGACAAAACACATTTTAGCAGCAATGTTGAGTTGCTTGAAAGGCAAACAGTAAGAGACATTATAGGCAGATATAATTTACCAATGCGTTTTAACATGGACAAATAATTATAGAATAAAAACAATCTGTTGTACAAGGCTTAAATCTTTTGGCTTGCGTGTGTGATTCTATCATTTTGCCTTTAACAGCATGGTTTCCTCCCTTTTAGTCAACACTTCATCCAATTCCAGCTCGATTCAATTAAAAATACGCTAAAATTAAAAATTTAAACAATACTGGGGCAAATACAGACATTTTACATACAGTGTAATCTGACGATCTGATATGAGAACCCTGCTTTCCGATTCATAGGACATATACAGTGGCAAGTAGTAATAACTGTGGTAATAACAGTGTAATAAACCCATCAGTGCATCAGGGAATCAAAGAACCTTGCAATTTCACAGGCTGAACAGATCTTAAATATGTTCTAATACTTATTGGTGACAAATTATTACTCACAGTTTAATACTGCTAAATTGAATCACTTGAAAAACTAGCAAGTGTAAGCCTGTGTATCAATACTGAAAAAAATATTGTTTCAACTCAAAAAGTACATTTTTTGTGCCGCCTAAAAATTTTAAGTTCAGTCAACTTGTGACAACTTGGATATTTGAGTTAACTAAACTTAAATCAAAGCAGAACAAACACTTTAAGTTAAAACAACACTTCTTTTTCGAATTTGCTCATCGCCATACAATATCTAGAGACATAAATACAGTGAAGGTTAAGAAAACGTTCATTTGACATGCCAAAGGACTCACCAATTAAATGAAAACAACCAATAAGCAATTGTATCCTAAAACGTATCACATCACAGCCCGTATGAAAAAAGCACCCGTGAGAAGGATGTCGGATTATTGTTCAGCGAGACCTAATATTGCAATTTATTGATCCAATTCCAGACCTCGTTCTTATTATTTCACTGATTTTCAATGGAATCGATTTAGTATATTCTGCAGATACAGGCACTGTTGACATGCATACAGCTAGAATAATGTCCCTTTTGTCATCCATATGCCTCAGATTGTGTTCAACATAAACACTTTGATCCATAAATATTTACCACATTCAAAAATGATCAAACAATCAAACAAAATACAATATGTCCTTTTGATAAAAATAAAAAATAAAAAAAGTTACATTGATATAATTATATAATTAATGAGCAACTAGCAGCCTTTGACCCCTGGGAAAAACAGGCAAGGTGTCATACGTCTTCCAGGTTCATTCCTTAACTCTCAGAAATCCTGATAACAAACTTCTCACTCTTGTCAAAATGGTCTCAAACGCATGTGTTTGTGTTTGGTGTGTTATATTGTTTTAGGCCCACTGCAGCTTATATGGTGAAAATGTATTTTTCTTTTTATTCTGTCCAGTAAAAAACAGTGTAAACCCAACCTTACCCTCAAAAGATCTTTCATTTTGCCTTGTTTTCACTTAAATTGCAAACTATACAACAACCTATGTGCAGCGGACAAAAAAAAATACAAAACAAAATAAATAGACTGCATACTGGAATTCTCTTAATTGATAAAAATTACAACGAGTCAGTAGCCGATGTTTTAAGACATAAATTAAGAAATCCTAACTACCTATCTATGTCACTACCCACGAAAGCATCCCTTTAGAGCGACCTAACTATCTACACACAGTTTCTAAGAGGGAACGATCTGCAGCACAGATACCCTGAACTTAAGTTTGAATGAGATCAGAGTGAGTATATTTCAAATATCTAATAACTTTTACTGCTTAATCTATATGGAAGTGAAATCTGTCAACTTTGGCTGCTTTTTTCTTTGTTTGTTAGAAGTCCTTTCATGTATTTTTTTTTTCTTTCATTTTTTGTATCCCCAGAAAATTATTTTATTATAGTCAGGTTATGATTAAGATATAAAAGCTATCATGGATGGCTCAATTTAGTAGAGTATTCATTTAACAGTATTTTTTAACTTTCCCACTTTTCTGTTTGTTTAATACAATCACAGCTTTGTGCACATGAATTGTCATCTATGGAAGCTCTTTGTTACCTCAGAGTAAAAAAATTAAAAAGTAACTGTGCGATAAAGTTGAACTCTTTCCCCGCCATTGACAGAATTTTCCGGCTTTCTGTGTTTACACTGTTATACGTTAGGAGGTGATATTAAGCATCCTCTGAAAGACGACTTTCAAAACACAGCTTTTTATTTACCGAAACGGTAACACTTTAAGGGGTGTGCATAAGTCACCTTCTTAACCATGACATGACATATGAGGTGTATGCATGTTTATGACAATTGTCATTAAGTGTCTTTCACTCAATAATGAAATTTTGAATGCAAATATGACATTGTTTAAGATGTCTTTGTTATGACAACTTGACATAAACCAATACATCATAACCTGTCAGTGTCTTTGTCATGACAACTTGACATTAAATTAAGTTAAACTGTCATTTGCTTTGACATTGGCTGTCATGAGGCCATTATAATTGTGTCATGAATATTTTTCGTGACCTCAACTACAGTGGTACTAATTGAATTTGTCATTAAAATGTTATAATGGCTTCATGACAGCCAATGTCAAAACCAACCTGACAGTTTAATGTAATGTTAACCAATAAAGCTAGTGGTTTCTTAAGTTTGATCATTAATCTGCTATGACAGGTTTTGTTGTCTTAGTAATGTCAAGTTGTCATGACAAAGACACTGACAGGTTATGATGTATTGGTTTATGTCAAGGTGTCATAAAGACATCTCAAGCAATGTCTTATTTGCATTAAAAATGTCATAATTGAGCGAATGACACTTAATGACAGTTGACATAAACATGCATAAAACTTCCTTCATATTCATAACATGAAGGTGTCATGTTAATCTTATGCACACCTCTTCAAGTAAAGTGTTACCAAAGAGACTTTAAGTACAACTGCAATTCTTCTGCAATTGTTTTTTTATGAAAACCCACATTCAGGTGTTGATGAAATAGAAAGCATGAAGCTAGAATAAAAGTCTCTATCCTTCCTTTAGATATAGTGCATTATGTTCAGATATTCATTGAACAAAATACTCTGGGGGAGGACATGAATTTTTTGTGAAAATGCTCAAAAATGCTGGTGTTGGCTGCCAATTTAAAAAAAACACTGGCAGGGAAAGAGTTAAAATAAGAAATATTCACACTGTGAGATACAAAGTCGCAATTACGAGATTTTGCGCTGCATTGTGAGTTATAAAGTCACAATTAGTAGAAACAAACTCACAACTGCGAGACGTAAAGTCACGATATTGAGAAAGAAAATTTGAAAAGATGTAGTCCCACTGAGATATAAAGACATAATTACAAGATATAAAGTCACATTTTAAGTCACTAACTTGCAACTGTGAGATGTAAAGTCACAATTAGCAAAAAAACTTGCAATTGCAAGATTTATAGTCACAATATTGAGGAAGCAATTACTATAAAGTCACATTGTGATTCATAAAGTCGCAAATTCAAGGAACAAACTTACAACTGTGAAATGTAAAGCCACAATATTGAGAAATAAAGTCGCAATTATGAGAATCAAAGTCGCAACTGTGACATTTAAAGTAGCAAAACCCTTTTTTTCCTTTTACTCTGGGGTGGAAATGGGCTTCCATAATCATCATCTTTTGCCAAATCATGTTTAACAAAAAGCAAAGATGTTTATTTATCTGAAGTAGAGCTATCACTTCTAAAATTGAAAACAGAGATATTCTAAAATACCAAAGTGATATCCTTGTACCTGTTCTCAATTTCTTCAAACATGACATTATTTTAGAAGTAAGCGAGAGAAAGTTTCTCAGGGGTTTGATGGCTTGTGCGACTACAGACGATGCATATTAGCCTGATTGTGGATCATCTGTGCAATACCAAATGGCCTTTGATTGCCATTAACATGCAAATTTCTCCTAAACACATGGCTTTTGATTGATTAAAAGAGAACTTGAGGTGGCCATCATAATTTTGCCACATCAAGCCTGATATACTGCACCGATATACAGTACTTATATTTCCCAAGAAATGTTGGGATATGTTTTTTTTTCTCCCCGACTTTATAACTGCAGTCCTTACTCTCTGCTTGGTTGGTTTAAACAGTACTATAAGAATACTGCATCCGACTTTCTCCATCTTGCATGCTTATTCATCTGTTTATTTAAAATCTATAAATCACATTAACTACTTTCAAGTTTATGTGTGACTGTATGGATGTTCTGTTATGTGTACGATTGCAAAAGCTATGCGAGTTAAACCAGTAAAACTGTTTATCTTTCACTCCTCCCCCTTCTTATTCAGCGTCTGTAAGGCTGTAGGGGGGAGGGGGTCCCAGGGCGTTGTCTGAGGGTGTGGGGGTACCCGGCGGGCCGCTGGACGGGGTGGGTGAAGCACCTGGATCCTCAGAATCAGAGTTCTCCTGAGAAAGGTCATCCACCAGAGCCCTGCGGCCAGCACGCATGGAGATAGGGAGCGGCGCTCGCCTGAGACAGAGACAGAAACAGAGAATAATCACATGCAATTCATACACAAAACGCAAAATACATAGACAGTGTCCCCGAAACATATTTGGCAATCTTTAGACACTTACTGTGTCACACGAACTGCATATTGCAATAACTTTCTAGCAATTTTTGCAGTATAGCAGTTAATTCAGCTATAAAGAGTACAGAATCACAGAAAACACAAGCAAGTAATGAAAGCAATGCTTATGCAGGTTGTAGTATTTAAAAAAAAAAAAAAATAACTCAAACCAAAACAAAAACTCAAAACAAGAAAAACCCCAAAAAACAAAACAAAACTCAAAACAAAACAAAAAGCGTTATTTTGGTACTGTGTTACCTAATACAAAAAAACTAACTCAAAACAATAACTCAAAACAAAACAAAAAGCGTTGTTTTGGTATTTTGTTGCCTAATACAAAAACAAAACAAACAAAAAACAAAACAAAACAAAACTCAAAACAAAACAATAACTCAAAAAAACAACAAAACAAAAAAAAAAACAACTCAAAACAAAAAACAAAACAATAACTCAAAACAAAATCAAAAAACAAAACAACTCAAAACAAAAACTGAAAACAAACAAACCCAAAAAACAAAACAAAACAAAACTCAAAACAAAACAAAAAGTGTTATTTTGGTATTTTGTTGCCTAATACAAAAACAAAAAAACAAAATTCAAAACAAAACAATAACTCAAAAAAAACTCAAAACAAAAAACAAAATAATAACCCCAAAAAAAACTCAAAACAAAAACTCAAAAAACAAAACAAAAACAAAACAAAACAATAACTCAAAACAAAACAATAACTCAAACAAACAAAAAACCCAACTCAAAACAAAAAAACAAAAAAACAAAAACAAAAACAACTCAAAGCAAAAAAACAAAACAAAACAATAACTAAAAAAAACCCTAAAAAAACAACAACCTCAAAACAAAAAACAAACAACAAAAACAAAACAATAACTCAAAACAAAAAGCTTTATTTTGGTATTTTTTTGCCTAATACAAAGACATTCATATATTTTGTGACTTAGTAGGGCCTGTCAAACGATTAATCGCGATTAATCGCATCCAAAATAAATGTTTGTGTTTACGTAATATGTGGGTGCACTGTGTATAATTATTTAATATATATAAACACACACACATGTTTGTATATATTTAAGAAATATTTTAATGTATATACTGTATATTGATTTACATATATTTTATACGATATGTAAATATAAATATTTTATATATAAATAATATTTTTTTCTTAAATATACATGCATGTGTGTGTGTTTATATATATATATACACAAAAAAATTATACACAGTGCACCCACATATATTATGTAAACACAAACTTTTATTTTGGATGCGATTAATCGCAATTAATCGTTTGACAGCCCTAGACTTAAGTGTTCAAATACTTTTTGGGGTCACTGTTTATGAACTGGAAGAAAGAACGAGGGTGGAAAAGAGGAAACTGAAATGATTAGAGGAAAGGAGAATCTGTGATTCATCACCATTTATAAACAGGAAGTGACCCACAATCCAATGTATACTACACCATCTTGATATGCTTCAGAATAAATCAGTTATAAAGGACTGTCTCTAATCTCAACAGGGCACACACCACCAGAGTCAAGAGGAGACAGGAAATGCTCAGAGAGGAACACAAAACACACAGTCTGACACTTTAGTATGAAAACCTACTGTTCGGACTTCTGCCGTTCTGTGGCGCTGAGTTGGTGTAGGAGACAAACATACAAATATGGATGGACACAAGACACATTAGATGAGTCAATGAAACATGCACACAGAACAACAAAAATTCACCATTCACACAGAACACTAAACTGTGCGATGTAGTCACAGCCAATGAGAAGATATTTGATATAGACTGTAAAAAGTGGATGTATGTTGCCACCTTAAAGGGTTATTTCACCCAATTAATCGTTTCAAACCCACAAGCTAGTTTACAAAAACAAATTGAGTGCTTTATGCATGTTCGTTGATAAATGTTTATATGTGAATGAAAGCATACATTAAGTCATATTATAAATCTGTTGTGTCTCTTCTGAAGACTTGGATTAAACCGCTCAATTCATACGGATTCGTTTTACAATCTATTGATTGAACATTTTGAAGCATCAGAGTTTTGGGTGAATAGACTTTCAATGGAGGGACAGATCATTAAAAAATAGTGCTGTCAGACGATTAAAATATTTAATCGCATTAATGTCGTAGTTAACTAGAGATTCATCGCACATTTTTATCTATTCTAAATGTCTCTTGATTTCTTTTTCTCACATTATTTTTTCTCATTTTAATGCTCTTATCAACATGGAAAAGTGGATCGACTTGCTTTGTGCAAATGTTTTTTATTGAAAACAACATTGGCATATACTGTGTTTAATTTCACACTAACATTCTCACTTGGAACAAATAATCTCTCACACAATGTAACACTGTCCAATCAATGAAAGCGTGAAAAAAATACTGACGAGGTCCTGATATTGACGAGGGGACGGGGAATTCGCATCAGACTGGACGTGCTGTGATGATGGTAACTTTTTAGTAAAGTAAAGTTTCCATTCAGAATCTTATTGGCATCCATTTCGGCATCTCGCGCTCGTCATCCACTCAAAACGTAACGTTAACCAACTATTTGGCCGGCTCGCAAGCCCAAACAATTGTGTGCGCCTGTTGTTTTGTTTACTTGCTAGATCCAAGCCATTGAAATGAATGGCTTTCATAGCGCAGTGCCACTCATGCCGCGTCCTGTTGCAAAAGCATATGAAAAAAAAACTACAAAGTTTGCTAGGTCAAAAAGATTGTTAATCGCGCGATAAAAAAATTGAACCCGTTAAAATGGGTTTGCGTTAACGCCGTTAATAACGGGTTTAACCTATTAAAAATATCTACAGTATTAAAAATATCTTCATTTGTGTTTGGAACGACACAAGGGTGAGTAAATGATTTCAGAGTTTACATTTTTTGGTGAACTAACCCTTTAAGGAATTATTTCTACCAAATCTGAGCCTTTAGAAAGTTTTGGGGGTTTTTTGTTGGTTAAATAAATAAAAGCATGGTGACACACTAGTTTAGGGTCCAATGACATTTGCCTCAATAAACTCAGAATTAATGTTTATTAATAGTGAGTAAGGTAGTTGTTTAGTTTAGTTTAGGTATTGGGTAGGATTAGGGGATGTAGAATATGGTCATGCAGAATAAAAAATTAATGTATGTGTTTTATAAGTACTAATAAACAGACAATATCCTAGTAATATGCATGCTAATGACCAGCTAGTTAATAGTGAGAATTGGACTCTAAAGTAAAGTGTTACCAACTTGCTTGCTGCTTTTTAATTTTACTCTTAGAATTTTAAACACAAAATAGCAAACTTCACAACACACAATCATAATCTTTACCTGAGTTGGGATCGGAGAGTGTTGAGCTCGCGGTTCATGCTCTGCATGCCGTCGCTCATTTCCTCCATCTCACGCTGTAGTTTCCTGCGCTGAGCGTTGGAGCGAGAGTTCTCTTCCTCCACCTCTTCTAACTGCCTCTTCAGCTGACGGAGACGCCCCATAGACTTATCCAACTACAAAGAAAAAGAGAGAGAGAGATTATATCATTGTAGAATTGCAGTTGTACTGAACGACCCACAGCCCTGAAGCGAATCCTGCAAATCCTGACATGAGTTTGTGTAGGTTAACAAAGGCTGGTTAGGTAACAGAAGCTACATATGTTATGTAAGAAAGAAAAAAAGTACCTGCTCTCTATATTGATCTGCATGTCTCCTTTCATCCTCCACCTGCATCAAAACTTCCTTCAGTTTCTTCTCTGTTTTCCGCACCAGCTTATTGGCTACGGCTCGCTCTCTGGGAAGGGAGAAAATGAAGAGAGGACACACAAAACAGACACATTGATGGTTTGCTCTTCACAGTGAATGTAAAGCCTTAAAAGAATAATTATAGCAAATGTTTTATTTTTTCTCGCGCTTTTTCAACAACAAACAAAACCTAATGCAATTTAAACGGTAGCTCACACTAATGGCTTTCGAACGCGTGAATATCACACTCAAGTTGTACAGACCAATTTTGATGATAGCTTTTGTTCGTTTTAGAGCTTAGCAGTCCCTGGTCCCCGTAAACTTTAATTGTATGTAAAAGAGCAGTTCTGACATTCTGCTGAACTGAATCAACATTGAACTGATTGTAATTTTATAGCATTACACTTATTTTCCTATTTATTAATGGTAAGCTGCTTTGAAGCACTAAGAAGTGCTACGTATATAAATACATGTGACTCAACTTGAACAAGAAAATGATTCAGATTTAATTTTTCATTCAGAAGACATCCGTTCATTTGAGCTCCAAGTTTTCCTTTTGCACCCCCACTGTTTTCTTACTGTCTCTCCTGCTCCATTTGTTCCTCCATCGATTCTATCTTGGCCTCCAGGGCGGCGACGCTGAGGCGATGTTTCCCCTTCACAGTTCCCTCCATCTCGCTGAGACGAGTCTTCAGCTCTTTATTATGCCTCTCCAGAGCCTCTCGTGCGCTCTCGCTCTTCTGTGCAAGTGTCCTTTCTCCAGATAGCTGGACTGTAAGAGTCTCAACCTAAAAAGTAGAGAGAGAGATGTAGAGTGCTCTGTCTCTATGTGTTTGTGTGATAGGATAGTGTCCTTCATTGTGTACCTACCTGTAAGGTGCTCTTCCTGTGTCTTTCGGCTATTAGTTCAGCATTACTTTGTTCTTCCTCTAACTCTTCCTCCAGCTGAGTGATTCTTCCCTCAAGACGCCGCTTCTCTTCAAACAGTGCAGATCTGCAGGGAAAAAAATGTTTAAGACAACATGATTTTTTTTAATAAACCAGTCTAGTGTTGCACACTATTCATCAGTGCATAAGGAAAAAATTATAGCCAATAATATTGGTATTCAAAATACTTCCAAATATATATATATATTTAATCTATATGAAAGGACTTGAAAGGACTTGGGTGTTATATACACTAACCTTCACATATTTTGGTTTGTAAGATATTTTTTTTATGTTTTTGAGTCTCTTCTGTTAAGGCTGTATTTATTTGATGCAAAATATTATTACAGTTTAAAATAAGTTTCGAAAACCTTTTGTAACATTATTAATGAGTTTACTGTCAGTTTTAATCAATTTACTGTTCCCCTGCTGAATATAAATATTTATTTGTTCAAACATAATAATTTATATCTACACTCACCTAAAGGATTATTAGGAACACCATACTAATACTGTGTTTGACCCCCTTTCGCCTTCAGAACTGCCTTAATTCTACATGGCATTGATTCAACAAGGTGCTGAAAGCATTCTTTAGAAATGTTGGCCCGTACTGATAGGATAGCATCTTGCAGTTGATGGAGATTTGTGGGATGCACATCCAGGGCACGAAGCTCCCATTCCACCACATCCCAAAGATGCTCTATTGGGTTGAGATCTGCTGACTGTGGGGGCCATTTTAGTACAGTGAACTCATTGTCATGTTCAAGAAACCAATTTGAAATGATTCGAGCTTTGTGACATGGTGCATTATCCTGCTGGAAGTAGCCATCAGAGGATGGGTACATGGTGGCCATAAAGGGATGGACATACTCAGAAACAATGCTCAGGTAGGCCGTGGCATTTGAACGATGCCCAATTGGCACTAAGGGGCCTAAAGTGTGCCAAGTAAACATCCCCCACACCATTACACCACCACCACCACCAGCCTGCACAGTGGTAACAAGGCATGATGGATCCATGTTCTTGTTCTGTTTACGCCAAATTCTGACTCTACCATCTGAATGTCTCAACAGAAATCGAGACTAATCAGGCAACATTTTTCCAGTCTCCAACTGTCCAATTTTGGTGAGCTCTTGCAAATTGTAGCCTCTTTTTCCTATTTGTAGTGGGATGAGTGGTATCCGGTGGGGTCTTCTGCTGTTGAAGCCCATCCGCCTCAAGGTTGTGTGTGTTGTGGCTTCACAAATGCTTTGCTGCATACCTCGGTTGTAACGAGTGGTTATTTCAGTCAAAGTTGCTCTTCTATCAGCTTGAATCAGTCGGCCCATTCACCTCGGACCTCTAGCATCAACAAGGCATTTTCGCCCACAGGACTGCCACATACTGGATGTTTTTCCCTTTTCAAACCATTCTTGTAAACCCTAGAAATGGTTGTGTGTGAAAATCCCAGTAACAGAGCAGACTGTGAAATACACCAACAACCAACAACCATGCTTTCCCATTCTGACATTCAGTTTGGAGTTCAGGAGATTGTCTTGACCAGGACCACACCCCTAAATGCAACTGCTATGTGATTGGATTGGATTAATTAACAGGTGTTCCTAATAATCATTTAGGTGAGTGTATATCATACAGAGCCAAAACCTTTAAACGGTAGTGTAGCCAACAAATAAAGATGTTTTAGATGGAGAACAAATTATTACATTATTCTTCTTATTCTGACGTTCTTCTTTAAGACGAATACAATCAGAGTTATATTAAAAAATGTCCCAGCTCTTCCATGCTTTATAATGGATGAGTAAATCATTGGGTAAATTTGATCTTTGAATGAACTATCCCTTTAGTAGAGGAACATTTTTAAATACATTGCGAGTGCTGTTTAGTGTTGATACTAAAGCATACACAAAAAGATGCAACTCATCCTCCCTAAACAGAAAGATATCTTCTGGGTCACTGAACCTCAACACAAGCACAAACAGATACTGACTTTGCAGTTGCAGTGTTGACAATTTCATCCGCCATTTCGTCTCTCTCCTGCTGGGCCTGTCTCCGCTGTCTCTCAGAAACGGCCAGCTCCTGAGAGAGTATCAAAATAACAGCGAATGAGTGAGAAAAAAAAAGAATGAAGGAGATGCATTTCAAATATCTTCCGGGTTACATAGGCAGGGCAACACACCTCTGTCAACTGTAATAGTTCTGCCTCCAAAGTCTGCAGCCGTTTCTCGCTGTCCTTAGACTGGACGACGATCTCGTCTCGAGCCAACTTGGTCTCGTCAAGCTCACGGATGAGCTCCTTCATCTGAGTCTAGAACACACACAGGAACACATTAAATTAACAATCAGGGATCAATCAATCAATCGAATTTTATTTTAATGAAGTCTGGCCTTCGTAATGAAATAATTGAGTCTTGGTCTACAATAAGCAGCTGGTTATATCACAGCTCTCAGTAACACCTTGTTAAAAATGTCTTGTGGATTATTTCAGAATGAACTGAACTGACAAACCTGGAGACGTTTCATCTGTCTAAGTGCTTCCTCTCTGCCCCGATTGGCTGTTTCCACCTGAGCCTCAGCCTCCTGCAGCTCGGTCTCCAGTTGTTTCTTGACCGTCAAAGCCTGAGCTCTCTGAGTCTTCTCCTCTTCAAGCATTGTTTCAAGCTCGCGCACCTGAACAGGTAACAGAAGAAGAAATGTGATCAATTCTGAACATCTTCAGAGACTATCTCATGCCTTCACTTCTTCGTTCTGCTGAGGGTAGTTACCTGTTTGTTAAGTGCTCTCCTCTTTTCTTCTCCTTTCTCCTCCTTAGTGCTGATCTCTCTCTCAAACTGAGCTCTAAGGGCCTGAAGAGTGACATCCAGCCTGAGGCGAGCGTTTTCCGCCTCTGTCAGCTCATCCTCCAGCTCTTGGGTCTGTTCTTTCAGAGATTGTGCCTCTGTTTCCAAAGCCCTCCGAGAGCGCTCCAGCTCATGAACCTGAGGAGGCGAAAAAAGTCAAAAGTCAAAGAACAGAATATGTTTTTGCTACTGCTGTGCTATAACATTTTAATAAACTCTGGGTAAAAAGCAAGCTGTACATTTTTGCCCACGTCATCCTGGGCGTTGACGAGCTGCTCCATCTCCACACGAAGCACCTTATTGGTTCTCTCCAGCTCATCTCTCTGCTCTGTTGCTTCCTGCAATGCTCTAGAGAGAGACAAGAAGCGTGTTTCTTTCTCTCGACTCTCTGCTTCTGCGCGGTCCCGTTCCTCCAGCAGCCGAGCACTCACTGCCTTCTCCTCTGCCAAACACTGAAGGTTAAAGGTCAAAGGGGGGTGAATATTTGGAGGTACACTGCTCAATTTTTAAAACTTTTTTAAATGACCAAATATTCATTTATTCATGTATCTTCCTATCAATACATCTAGCTGTCCATCCATCCATCCATCCATCCGTCCATCTATCCATCCATCCAGCAGTTAATTTATCCCTCCATTGATCCAGCAGTCAATCCATTTATTCCTCTCTTGCTCCCTCCATCCACCAGTCAATCCATCCCTTTATTAATTCAACAGTTAATCCTTTCATCCATGCACCAGTCAATCTATCCATCCATTCCTCTATCCACCAGTCTATCATCTATCAATTAATCCACCAGTAAATTTATGCCTTCATCTATCTCTCCTTCGATCCACTTGTCAATTCAACCATTCATCCATCTATCCACATCCATCCATCCATCCATCCATCCATCCATCCATCCATCCATTCACCAGTCCATCATCTATCAATCCATCCACCATTTAATTCATCCCTCTATCCATCTCTCCATTGATCAATCCATCCATCCATCCACCAGTCAATCCATACATCCCTTATTCACCTGTCAATCCATTCATCCATCCACTGTCTATTGGCCCATCCATCCATCCATCCATCTATCCATCCATCCATCCATCAACCAGTCAGTCCATCCATCCATCCATTTACCAGTCCATCATCTACCAATCCATCCACCAGTTAATTCATCCCTTTATCCATCTCTCCATTGATCAATCCATGTATCCGTCCATCCACCATTCAATCTATCACTCCATCCATCAGTCCATCTATTGACCAGTCAATCCATTCATCCCTCATTCACCTGTCAATCCATTCATCCATCCACTGTCTATCGGCCCATTCATCCATCCATCCACCCATCCATCCATCCATCCACCAGCCAGTCCATCCATCTACCAGTCCATCATCTCTCAATCCATCCACCAGTTAATTCATCCCTTTATCCATCTCTCCATTGATCAATCCATCCATCCACCAGTCAATCTATCACTCCATCCATCAGTCCATCTATCAACCAGTCAATCCATTCATCCCTTTTCACCTGTCAATCCATTCATCCATCCACTGTCTATCAGCCCATCCATCCATCAATCCAGCCATCCATCCATCCATCCATCCATCCCCTACAGTACCTGATCAAATTTCTTCTGTCTCTTCTCCAGAGCAGTGCAGTTTTGTCTCTCTCTCTGAAGAGCGATGGTCATATCCTCTATCTCTTCTCTCAGCCGTTCTTTCTGCCTCTCAATGCGTTCTTTCTCTTCTTCTTTGGCTCTCTCTCTCTGTGTAGCATTCTCCAGCTCTCTCTGCAACTTCCTCCTGGCCTCCTCCCCGACCTCCACTGCCGAATTCACTTCCTCGGTCTGTCTCTTCAGATCAGATAGCTGCATGGGCACATAAAAAAGAATATGATAAAATGGAGTAAAGATGGTTTGAACAATAAAAATGTTTTCCTGGATTTGCAAATGGGTGTAAACCTGTTGTGTATGGTTTTGAATCTGGCGTGTAAGTTCTCTGGTCTTCTCCTCCTCCTCCTCTAGTCTCTCCATCAGTCCAGTTTTCTCTTCCTCTAGAGCACGTACACGTGAGCCCAGCGTCAACTTCTGCCGTGTCTCTTCCTGCAGTAACTCCTAAAAAATAACACACACACGCTCAAAAGGTAAGCATGATTAAGAGGCCCTCGCATTAACAGTCTCAGAGTGAAATCACAGTCTCTAAGATCTGCTTTGATATAGAACAACAATCAGAGTGAGCAGAGAAAAGCAGTTTGGTTAAGTCCCATGAGTATATTAATATGTAGCGGAAGAAAGCAAATTATAACACACACACACAAGTTACCTGCATATCATGTAGTTGGCTCTCCAGACTGCTGACCTCCTTATTTAGACGGTGAGATTTGGAGTCAGATGAGGCGAGGGAACTGGACAGAGACTCAAGCTCTGACTGAGAAAGAGAGATTAGAATCATGTCATAATTTGGTTTGATTCAGACTAGAGTTTCATTTTAAAACTAAAAGTTGGACCAGCAACAAACATTTACTAGCTGGTCATACCAACCTAAATTGATCACGCTACTGTTTGTAACAAGGTGGTTGGTAAAACACCCAATTACCAGCTTGGACAAGCTATTTTCATGTACCAAAAATCATTTTAAGCTAGATTTTCCAGAATGGGAAGGATTCAAGTGACCAACTTTAACACATTGCACAGTCTGCATGGGTAAGTCTTTCAAACCTAATGCAAATTTCCCAATTGCCTGGATTCCAAATGACTGTGTTCACAGTAAATGTGGCCGCTCCGAGTTCACTCCAATCGTACCTAAGACCTAAGCAAACAGTAGGGGTAAATGAGCGCTTCCTGGATTTCAAAGTTTGGTTAAAATAGAGGTGCTCTTTGGATGGGAAACTGAATATGACGAATAAAGCAAGAGAACTCCAAGGCACTCTCAAGTGGAAAAGTTAAAAAGCTTTTATTATTATGGCTTGGTCAAATTAACCATCTAAAAAACTCCAACGCGTTTCGGCTACCTGCCTTCTTCTGGGAGTAGCCTAAGACCTCTTTAACAGGTATGTTTGGGAGCAGTTCCCTGGTGCCCACCAGAGTTCAGAAAACCTTTTTTTACAAAAAAACGAATCAATTCGTATATATATATATATATATATATATATATATATATATATATATATATTTCAAATTAAGCCCATTTCCTCTCTCTTTTTTCCCATTTTACCTGGAGTTTACTGAGTCGTTCCTCTCGCTCCTCTCGTTCTCTGTCGGCCTGCAAGAGGCGTGCGTTGACTTCCTGTAACTGTCCCTCTGCTCTCTTTCTGCCCCTCTCGCTCTCCATCTTCCCTCCCTGTAATGTCTTCAGCTCAGCACTCAGGTTCATTCGCTCCTCCTCCAGAACAGCCTTCGCCTTCTCCAGAGACTGACGGGACTGTGGACATACACACAAAACTTGGACGTGTACCAATACAAAAGCTGGTTTCCTAGTGAAACAAACAATCATGCAAACAAACTGCATTTGACGTAAATGCTAGGACTCACTCTCTTGGCATTGTCTAGCTGCTCCTGTAGGGAATCTATAGCAGCGGTGTGTTTGATGCGGAGCTCTGACAACTGAGCTTCATGACGACGGGTCTCGTCCTCTAAACATCTCTGAAGCTCTCCTAATTCAGCCTCACGACGAGACCTAAACAAACACACACACCAAAATGCCTGTGGTTAACTCTGTGCTTAATTGTTTTGACTGTGCACTTTTAGTGTACTTCAATTCTTAAAGGTATATTTAAAAATTTTAGCTTGCAGATAATAAAGTATTAATGAAATAAAAGGCCACTTAAGAGTTTTTGAAGAGAGTATACATTCATAACTGCTTCTTAACTCTAATTCTATAATTCTAATTTATAATGCTTTAAAGAAGAACACTTATTATGATGTGTTGACTCACATACTAACACACACACACACACACACCTGAGCTCTTGCTGAGCAGCTGTAGTGTCCAATGTATCTTCTAGTTCAGTTCTCAAAGCCTCTAATTCCTCCGCCAGATCTCTCCTCTGTTTTTCAGCTCTCTCCCTCATCCCTCGTTCATTGTCCACCTCCTCTTTCAACTCCGAGACCTGAGACATGGCCTCTCTCAGGGCTCTCTGAGCTTCGGTACGACGTGCCCCCTCTTCTTCCAGCCTAAGAGAGAGGATGAGAGCAAAAGATGTCATTACTGGAGAAGTATTAGCAACTGCGCCACATTCACTATAAGGTATATTTGTGTTTGTGCGTGTACCGTGTCTGTAGTGTGGTGATCTCTTTCTCTCTTTGGCTCAGGCTTCCTCTCAGCTCTGTGACGAGTAAGCTCAGGTCAGACAGCTGCTCTTGAGCCTCCACTGATTCTCCTTCCATCCGTCTCTTCCACTTCTCCTGCTCCAGACGACCCTGCTCTTCCCTCTTCAGGCGCTCTAAAGGAGAAAGAGACAGTTATTCGGATTTGAACTATCATTGGAAAATAGATCCTTTTAAATGATGTTTTAAATGTTTGGGGTCAGTAAAGCTCTTTTGCTCACTGAAAAAATTCAGCAAGAAACATTTATGTTGTTAAATATGATTACTATTTAAAATAACTATTTTCTGTTTTAATATATTTTAAAATGTAATTTATTCCTGTGATGGCAAAGCTGAATGTTCAGCATCATTACTCCAGTCATCGTTCTAATATGCTGATTTGGTGCTCACAAAATATTCCATATTATTTTCAATGTTGAAAACCATGTGAAAACCATGATACTTTTGTTTCAGTGTTTCTTGATGATTACAAGTTTTCTTAGCATTTATTTAAATGTATTTTTTGTAACAAAATAAAAGACTATACTGTCACTTTTGATCAATTTAATGTATCTTTGATAAATAAAAATATTTTTAATTTTTTTTTAATTGTACTGACCTAAAAGAGTAAAAAAGGACGTTAATTGTGGTTCTGCAATATTTAATGAATGCATTCTTGAAATTTAAGACACAAAGCCTAAATTCAACATATTCAATGAATCATTAACAATGAAATTTTTAAATGTTTCATAAAAATTCAAGTACTGTTACCTTCTAAATCAGCGATGACAGCTTCCTGTTTGTTTTTCAGTTTGTTAAGACTCTTCACCTTCTCCTCTTCCTCTGTTAGTTGATCTGCCACTTCATTCAGTCTCTCGTCCAAATGTTTCTTCTCCTGAGAAAGAGAAAGACAGAAAGATTCATAAATCACTGTAACAATTCTTACTTTATTATCCAACTATCCAATAAATTCCCAATGGGAAAAATCAACATTTTTTCTTGTTCGGGAAGCCGTTTCACTTGGATATATGTGACAATAGGGAAGAAAAGACTATTGCGACTTCTGTTTCATGCGACTTCAACTACCTTGCTAAATTTGTCTCTCTGCTCCCCCAAAGTCAAGACCTCGCCCTCCAGACTCTTCACTTTGCTTTCCAGGGTGACTTTCTCCAGCTGGAGGCGCTGACGTGTCCCCTCTTCCTCCTCTAGCTGTTCTTCAAGATCCTGAGAGAAAGAAACAATAATCTTGACAAAAGATATTCAATAGTAGACATGCGACACTGACAAAAGCTTCAGTTCTCCTCACCTGCACATGTTGCTGTATTCTCTTCTTCTCATTGGTCATCTGAACGGCCCTCTCCTCTTCCTCCTCCAATCGGCTCTCCAGCTCTCCCAACACATCTTCAAGCTCCTGTTTGCGACTGGCCAGCCGTGCTCTCATTTCTTCGGCCTCTGCGAATAACTCCGCCTCCGCCTGAAGCTGGTCGGTCAGCACTGACTTCTCCTCCAACAGCTGTCAGGAAGACATCCAGATGTGAATGTGGAAACCAAACAAATACAATTCTTTGTGCAACAAAAATGAGTGAAACAATGAAATAAAGTCACCTGTTGGTTTTTTTTGTCCAGTTCAGTAAAGTCAAGCTCTAGTTTACTCAGCTTGTCTTTGGCTTTCTGAAGCTGTGTTTCCCGAGCTTGAATCTCTTCATCTTGACGGGTCACCTGCAGCAAGGGCTTCACCTGGAGGAGAGGTCAAAGGTCAAAAAGCAAATTAAAAGTAGGGCTGTCAAACGATTAATCGCATCCAAAATAAAAGTTTGTGTTTACATAATATATGTGGGTGCACCATGTATAATTATTTTATATTTATAAATACACACACATTCTTGTATATATTTAAGAAATATTTTGATGTATATACTGTATATAGATTTATATATAATTTATATTATACATAAATATAAATATTTTATTATTTTATAAATAATATTTTTTTCTTAAATATACATGCATGTGTGTGTAATTATATGTATACAAAATAATTTGTGCACCCACATATATTATGTAAACACAAACTTTTATTTTGGATGCGATTAATCGCGATTAATCGTTTGACAGCCCTAATTAAAAGACATGTCGCTGTCAGGGTTGTGGTGCAGGCAGAGGAACGAGGAGTCCGGAGTAACGGTGAAGATAATTTAATATTCAAAACAGGCAGGAAGACAGGAACTCAGGTGCACACAAGCTAACATTAGACAACAACCGACAAAGACAGAATGAAACTGAGGGAACTAAATACACAGAGGAATCAGACATAATGAGGTGAAGACAGGTGAAACAGATGAACAGGACGCTGAACGGGAGGCTGATGAGGGAGTGAGTTCAGGTGTGCAGACAAGAGGATCATGGGAAGTGTAGTGCTGGAGACGCAGACAGGATGGTGCAGACGAAGGACTGTGACAGAACTCCCCCCTCCCGGGAGGCGTGACCTCACGCCGCATAACAGAGGAAGGAGGGGGGACGAACTGGGGGCTGGGCGGAGCGTGGCCAGGGCGGAGCAGGCTGAGGGCGTGGCCAGGGCGGAGCAGGCTGAGGGCGTGGCCAGGGCGGAGCAGGCTGAGGGCGAGACCAGGGCGGAGCAGGCTGAGGGCGTGGCCAGGGCGGAGCAGGCTGAGGGCGTGGCCAGGGCGGAGCAGGCTGAGGGCGAGACCAGGGCGGAGCAGATGGAGGGCGAGACCAGGGCGGAGCAGATGGAGGGAGGACCCCTGGTGGAGCCGATGGTAGTGGGGCTGACAACACCAGGGGGCCGACTGACAGGGGCGGAGCAGATGGGAGAGGAGACCAGGGTGTAGCTGAGGGACAGACGACATTGGGTGCTGAGGAGGGACCGAGGGACCATGGTGACACCGTAGGCTCTGGTGACTGAAGTGACGACAGGGGCACAGAGGGACACGGTGAGGTCAGAGGGCGTGAGGGCTGACAGGTGACTGGAGGGAGTGAGGAGTCCAACTGAACCGGAGGGGTGACAAAACGGGGCGGAGCCAAAGGAAGGAAGTCCATAGGTGAGGGGAGGATGACGAGGGAGTGAAGGGAATCCGGAGGACCGAGGGAGCCTGGCCGAGCTGGTGGACTGAAGGGCCATGGAGGAGCTGAGGGAGGTAGGAGCCACGGGGGAGCTGATGGGACAGAGGGCCGAGGAAGTGTCCATGTGGAGGCGGTGCGAGGCGAAAACCGGGGATCCACTGACCAAGCTGGTGTCGGGGAGCTGAAGGGCAGGAGAGAAGATGGAGGACAGATGAGAGGAGGCGGGAGAGGGAGGCTGGGTGGGATCCTGGTCTCAGGCTCTGGCTGGACGGTCTCGGGCTCTGGCTGGACGGTCTCGGGCTCTGGCTGGACGGTCTCGGGCTCTGGCTGGACGGTCTCGGGCTCTGGCTGGACGGTCTCGGGCGCGGGCTGGACGGTCTCGGGCGCGGGCTGGACGGTCTCGGGCGCGGGCTGGACGGTCTCGGGCGCGGGCTGGACGGTCTCTGGCGCGGGCTGGACGGTCTCTGGCGCGGGCTGGACGGTCTCTGGCGCGGGCTGGACGGTCTCTGGCGCGGGCTGGACGGTCTCTGGCTGGACAGGGCTGGGCGGAACCAGCAATGAGGAAACCTTGGGCGTTGGCTGAACATGTGAAGGACTCGAGCAAGTGGTCATGGCTGGAGATGGTGGTTGAGCGACGATGTCATCAACCTCACCAACGGTGAAGGTTGAGCCGCTCGACCACAGCACATGATCCAGGTACTCAGCGAAGGTCCCTGGATACTCCGCTGCTGGAGCTTGCTGGTACAGATACTCATCCAACCCACCCCAAAACACCGACTTAAGAACCGTATCTGTCCAGCTTACCCCGTTGGCGAGTTCCAGAAACTTAGTAATATAATCCTCCAGAGGGATCCCGTCCTGAAAACAATGGACCAAAAGGTCGGCTGGGTTGACGTGGAAGCGATCAGCTTCCATGCTTTTAGTGGTCGGTTGTTCTGTCAGGGTTGTGGTGCAGGCAGAGGAACGAGGAGTCCGGAGTAACGGTGAAGATAATTTAATATTCAAAACAGGCAGGAAGCCAGGAACTCAGGTGCACACAAGCTAACATTAGACAACAACCGACAAAGACAGAATGAAACTGAGGGAACTAAATACACAGAGGAATCAGACATAATGAGGTGAAGACAGGTGAAACAGATGAACAGGACGCTGAACGGGAGGCTGATGAGGGAGTGAGTTCAGGTGTGCAGACAAGAGGATCATGGGAAGTGTAGTGCTGGAGACGCAGACAGGATGGTGCAGACGAAGGACTGTGACAGTCGCATCCCAACTCATATACTTCTAATGCACTGGAAAAAAGTGGCAACCTGCAAATGTTACTGTAATGTGCTATTTTAAAGCCTTATTTTACTAACAATATTTAAAAAAAATTAAATAAATAATAATGGTAAAAGTGAATAATAAAATAAAAGTAACATTTATCATTAATATTTAAGCATTAAGCATTTTTTAATTCAACATTTTTTACGTAATTCAAATTATCCTGGTAAACTGTAAGTTGATAAAACTGATTAATTTATAGGCATATTATATAAGTTAATGCGAGAATATACAACAATTAAAAAGTTTGGGGTCAGTTTTTTTTATTAATATTTTTATTCAGCAAGAGTGCATTAATTTGATCAACAGTGTAAGTAAAGACTTTAAAATTGTTACAAAAAAATCTAATAAATGCGTTTTTTTTTTTTTTCAAAGAATCCTGATTAAAATGTATCACGGTTTGCACAAAAATATTAAGCAGCACAATTGTTTTCAACATAGATAATATCAGCATTTAAGAAGAATGATTTCTGAAGGATCATGTGAAACCAAAGACTGGAGTAATCAGATGAAAATTCTGCTTTGCCATCACAGAAATAAATCATATTTTAAAATATATTAAAATAGAAAACACATTTTAAATTGTAATCATATTTTACATTATTACTGTTTTACAGTTTTCATCAAATAATTGCAGCCTTAGTTATTAGCATGAGGGACTTCTTTCAAAAACATTTTTAAAATTATTATCGACCCCAAACTTTTGAACGTGCAATTCTGAGTATGTAGTAAAAGAGAGAAACATACTACCACTTCTTTACTTTACACATTGATACACGTTAGCTTTAGCTACATTCCACATAAAATCATTACATTAAAGGGGCTACGTGTAAGAATTTTCACGTCTTAATCGCTTTTTTATTGACAATGTATGAACACCTTGTAACCAAACTTAAAAAAGAGACCTTCCTCGAGGTTGTCAATGAAAGCCTGTAAAGTGAAGGATAAGTTGCTGGCTGCAGTTTAGTTAATGGCCACCGGTGTCGCTATTAACAAGGGTTTTGTAATTCTACAAATAACCCCTTTAAAGCTCATTATTAGGCCTACTTCATGTTTTACTTTATATAACATGTTGTATAATGCTTTGTGTTACCTTGGTGAAGAGTCTCCACCACTGCCAGTTTCTGAGCTTCAGGTATGCAGCACAGTTCCTCTGCATCACACGCAGAGCGCTGAGCTGCTGCTGCTTCTTATGGAATGCCCTGAAAGAACACGTCTGTTAAAACTTACGTGCACACTAGAGGCTGACATTTTTTCGGGAATCCCGTGGGTCACAAAATCACTATGTATCACAGGATTGGAACAGGAAAGAAAAAAATGCCAGCGGGTGTGGGCGGGACCGGGAATCGTAATAAAACTATGATACCCAACTTTATACACAAATATAAATTTTCTATTAATACATTTTGAACTAAATCCTATTTGCCCCGTCCCTTTATGCTCTCCTGTTTGCTTTAGTGTGGCTGGTAAAGTGAATGACGTGCTCCACACTCCCGTACCAGTTGGTGGCTGTAATATAGCTGCCAACTCTCATGCATATTGGCCGTAAGACACCCGCATTTGATTGGTTTCACACGCTCACACGCCACACCCCCGATTTCTCATGCTGAAGTGTCAACCTGTTCGGTCAAATGCCTGGAAGACGAGTTTTTTCTATATATCTACCTATATATCTACCTGTTGAGCCACTCGTGATCGAGTAGTTATGCAATGCTATGCAAATTAGTTAAATTCTCCCGGAATCTAGAGCGAGACAGAGATTGTGCTTCAAACCGCCTAGCGCGCGCACACACGGCAGAGAGGGAAAGCCATCAAGAGACCTTGTGAGTGCGTGTGTCATCGAAACAACCCAGTTTTACAGTTTTTTTTCTGTAACTGACAGATTCCGGTCAAAAAAACACGGGAGTGGGAGAGAATAGGAGTCATTCCTCCGGGATTGGGATGGGACAGGATTTTTTTTGTGGGAGTGTTACGGGAGAGGTACACATATTACACACCACACAACCTGCGACACACACAGACACTTACCTCCTGGCGAGGTATCCACGGGCCGCGCTCTGGAAGCGGATGATGGTGTCAGTGATCTTCAAGTCTCGTTCTTCCTCCAGATGAGCCAGGACTCCAGCCCGGAAGAACACCTTACTCTGTCCTACCCGGAAAAGGTTCTTGTCCAGCTCCAAAGCACTGATCTATAGATACAGTAACAAGACACAATCAACAACATGTAGAATACAAATCAGAGATCTGAATAAAACAATAAACCACCATTGACCTTCCCCACTCAGTTCTTGACCCTAAAGCATCTGTGCTTATCCGGAATATCCGATATTAGTGTGTAATATCCTCTATCAAATCAATATTATGAACTCTTTGATTAAGGTTTGAGTGACATCACTTACCATGAGCTCACAAGCCTGTTTGCCATCCATAAAGGTTCGAGGAATAGCATTTGGAGTCAAGATCTCATACCTGAGAGATACACAAACACAAAAAGAGGCAGACAGATAAATATGACGCAAGAATCTCATTTATGTAAGATATACCAGGGTGTAATGATACCCTCATGTCACGATTCGATGCATATCACATTACTGAACTCACAATACGATATTATTGAGATACTCCAAGACATATGGTAAAAGGTTAACAAAAAATGCACTGTTGGTTAAAATGCTAAATGGGTTTAAATGAATAGGCTTGGACTTGGTGCTTGTAACCCAAGGACAACGGTGACACCAGAATAACAATATTCACGATTCTGAAGCTGAAAATACAGAATTATTTTAGATGAATAAGCTTGCACTCTTTCACTGACAAGATATATTTAAAATAAAGTCGGCCACATTGCATTATTATACATTATATTCAACATTACATATAGTAGATTAATGTAGTACTTACACTAAAACTCTGAAAACTTTAATTTTTTTTCTCACACAGTCATTTTTATTTTGGGGGAACTATCCACGATACATATTGATGCATTTTTGAATTGCGATATATTGTGGCACGATATAGTGTTACACTCCAATAAAGCATAAAAGTATTACTGTAAGCAATTATTTTTTGCACAGACATTCACACACACACAGACACATGCGCAAACGCATGCATGCCCCCCCACACACACGCACAATATACTTTTCTACTGTCAATGGGGAAATTCCAGACTTCTATTGTTTTTATATTCAGCTAGTAATACATACTATAATCTAGCACTAAACCTAACAAAATTCATTAACATTATTTACTTCATTTTTATACTGTTTTACAAATGAAGGTCAAACGTGCTCTACCAAACGTGGATATTTTTGCACTAAGAAACGAACATTGTTATTATGTTTTGATTGATACTGTGAAGCTGCTTTGATCTATATTGTCTATATATTGTCACAATCTATATTGTGAAAAGCGCTATATAAATATACTTGACTTGACTTGACTTAGCTCACTACAGGGTACAAATTTATCCCACAAATGATGGTTAAATACACACACACCTCTGTCTGAACTCCTGGAATGGGATGCGGTTCGGGAAGCCCTGTCTGCAGATCCTGATCCCCTCCAGTACACCATTACACCTCAGCTGATCCAGAACCAGATGAGGACTCAACTTCCCTGCCTGTGATTATTTAAAGAACAAAAACACACACACACACACACACACAAAAAACCCATCAATGATATTACAATTCTACATTTTGTCTAAATATATTAAAAATAAAACACAAAAAATTTAAAACGTTACAATTTGCAGTAAGATAATGGCTTCTATATTTTGAGATTTGCTAAAGATTACACTGAACACTGACATTATTAGTGTTATTATAGATTAAATGAGTGTTAGATGATTGTAAAGGTAATCTAAATGAGCATACATAATTAAATATCCAATTTCCACTGATAACAAAAAATTTTAACCAACATTTTGTGCAACCTCACAATTAATGCCCAAAGTGCACAGAAGTTCTCACTTCTTCGATGAAAAGAAAAGTACTATGTTCGTTTTTCAATTTCTCCTTCTATTCGTACCTTTTTCTCATGGTTGGGGATGATGCAGCGCAGGAAGTTGGGGTTGGTGTTGCGGAGGGTGGCCATCAGTTTAGTAAGGGACTCTTTGTAGAGTTGTCCCACCGTGCGAAACATTCCCTTCTTCGTCTTTAACCCAGCGGCCCCAAAAGTCACCGGTCCACTGTTCTCTCCGGACGACCCCTGGTCCAGACCCACAATCCTCTCCACTGTCAAGCACAAAACAGACATGTTATTATCTAAAAAGAATATGTTTATGGCATGTTCAGAGAGCACTATGGCTCTAGATTAGTGCTATTTCTGTAAAATCATACAACCAAAACGTTTTTGAGAAGAAAAGTTCAAATGGAAGTCATATATGAATGTGTTCTTCTTCTGAGACCTTTAAAACTTCCAAAAAAGAAAGATTAGAAACTCTGTGCATTTCTACATTACAAGCACTTTAAGAAATATGATCACTACCATAAACCAAACTAAACTAGAATGAGTTCTATAGCAAACGAACTACGCATTCTACTAAACTACAGTTAGAAGAAAAAAACAGCAACCCACACATCACATCACAATCTGATGCAATGAAAGAGAGATGAGAGACAGAGTGAAGGGCAAATCATAATTAGATGAAGTGATGGAGAGGTTAAAAGAAGAAGAGCAGAAAAACCTACTGCTGTCAGAGCCATTGGTTTGCAGGGTGGCATAAGAGTCAAAAAAGTACACACGAGGAAGAGTTTGAATATCTGAGAGAAGAGTAAAGTAGAGAAGAGAAGAGCGTTAGTCCATAGTAGATTACAGTGTTAAATATTAGGAACTGAATAAAAAATGTTATTATTAACATTGCATTATTAATCATTTATTAATAAATAGCGCAACTATTATATATATATATATATATATATATATATATATTATTTGATTGAACTGGAAACATTAAGGCTGCAATTAAGCCATTTTCCCATATTCATTGTTTGTAGCAGTTTCTAATTGTTTTAAGCAATTCATCAATTTATTGTTGCTGTAAATAATATTTGATATTTGCATTATTCATTTATCTGTTTTCCTGCTTCTGAAACAGGAAACTGGGAAATTATTATTATTAGTTTGTTTATTTATTTGTTTATGAATATTACATATTTAAACATTTGTTGATAAATAATATAATATAATATAATATAATATAATATAATATAATATAATATAATATAATATAATATAATATAATCCCTTCATAATTAAGCTGTGAATGGTTTTACCATTTGTATTGCTGGTATAATTGGATCAAGCAATTAATTAATTTATCATTTATGTTAATAATAATTTAATAAAATATAAATTAATATATTTTTATTATTACTATTTATATTTATATCTTTATTATTATTTATTACTATTATTATTATTATTTTTATTTATTTTTCTGCTTCTGAACCTGAAATTTCAAGAAATTATTCTAATTACACCACAGCGTCTTTTAAACACATACCAGTGCAAAAAACCTTCCCCAGCGTTACGACACACACACACACACACACGCTTCCCCTCACCCTCCCTCCAGAGCTCAGAGATGAAGGGGTCAGATGACTGATGCAGGAGAGATGCCACATTATCGTTCAAAGGATCCATGTTCTTCACCAGCCACTCATTTGCCTTATAGTCCACCTGACAGAGTAAGAAAGTAGACTGAGTCCATTTTGACTTCATGTTGAATAGAAAAAGGAAAAAAGGAGACCCTGAGGTGGTAAAATAAATCTGACCTTGCCAGCATAGTGTACAATGGAGAAGTCGGCCTCTTCTTTAAGCTGCCGCGGCCGCATGAACTTTGAGTGTGAACCCTGCTCAGCTGACAGTTTGTCCACAAATGAGCGATCGGTCGCCCTCGGAAACCAACACTCCTCGTCCAACAATGCCAGCACGCCAGGAGGATGAGCCTATGGAGCAAACCAATTAGAAACATTATCAAAGCTAGACACTTCCAATGATGTCAAATCAGGTTGTATGACAGCAAACTGTCATACATTCTCTATTACGTGAATTTAGATCTACACACACACTGACCGGTCTCTCGATGAGGTCGATACAGGGCTGGAGATCCAGACCGAAGTCGATGAAGTTCCACTCGATGCCCTCTCGCTGATACTCCTCTTGCTCCAGTACAAACATGGTGTGATTAAACAGCTGCTGCAGTTTCTCATTAGTGTAGTTGATACACAACTGCTCGAAGGAGTTTAGCTATTGAGAAAGAGACATAGACAATAATATTTCGTCAGTTGAATAAATAAAGACAATAACTGACAGGTGTAAATTTAAGTTTGTAGGATTTTTATGTTAAAATTCATTCTTTTAACCCAGTTTATTGTATATTGGCTACTATTAGTATGTCATTCATGGGTTTATCTCCAAAAAAGTGTAAACATTGAGTTTCTTTCAGGCACCATCAAAACATTGAGATCTGTCAATCTCTTTCCAGCTCGACCAATAGCCTGAGTTTGGGGCGTGGCTACAGTAGCAGGCGAAGCCAGAGGGTGTTCAGCTGGTGTGAGACCATGGCTGACGCGTTACAATGATGTTCAGCTTGCGTTACAGGAGTGCAAGCCAAAATTCAATGCATTTATACCTTCAAAGATTAAAGGTGCAATGTGTAAAAATTTTGAGTATCTATTAACAGAAATGCAATATGACATCCATAACTATGTTTTCAGTAGTGTATAAAGAACTTACTTAATAAACCGTAATGTTTTTATTACCTTAGAATGAGACATTTATATCTACATAATATAAATAATTATGTTATAATAATAACATATAATAATAACACGGCCACCCCCTTCAATGAAGGTCGACATATTGTGACGTCATGTTTCTACCGTAGTCGAACGCAAACAAACAGCGCTACAGAGCGCGTTTCGTCACTACATTGAAAGAGAAGCAGTAGAAAGCTAGAAGCTAGCCATAAACACCGTTAGTAGTGTCTTTTGCCTTGTCAATGGTGTAAAATATGAAGTTGGACTGTTTCATGTAACTTAGTTCTTCTCCCTCTCTGTGTTATGGCTTTGTTATGTGGGGATAAATGTGCTGGTTACGTTCGTGAGACAGCTGATTAGCACTCATGTCATTGACCGCAAAACAGTATGTAACAGGAATCACCAACCCATCGATCGCGGTCGACAAGTCGATCTTGGAAGCATTTTTAGTCAAGAGAGTTCAGAGAGAAAAAAATCTGAGAAAAAATCCTATTTTGTGTAGTAAATGGTGCTCATGCGGATGCGTCGAGTTTAAACAAGGCTTTACACTTTAACCTGCTCAGCCACAGTAACAACTCATATTTAGCCAGCTAAAGTTAGAAAAAAGATATAGTTGCATAGTTTCATGTGGTTCTTCTCCCTCGCTGTATTATGGGTTTGCTATGTGTGGGGAGAAATGTGCTGGTTACGTTTGTGAGTGAATCCGCTGATTACTATTATTATATTATATATTAAGACCCTTTATCCTCACCTGAACTATGGCTTTGTAAACTTTATCCATGATGTGGTTTATAATGGAATGGTACACACTCTTGGCTTACTCTAGCTATTCTCTGCTGTCTCCAGATGACGATATGTTTGTCCCGTTTTAGCCACCGTAGCCTCTTCGAAAGGGAGGGGCGAGCAGTGGGCTGAGCCCTTAGTGCAAACTCGCAACCGTACCGCTAGATGTTGCAAAAAAATCACACACTGCACCTTTAAACAGGTTGGGAACTCATTAGTTCTCCTCAATTGTTTACTCATGACACATAGCAATACAGCTGAATGGATTCTTAATATGTTGGAACTCTGTATTAAAAGTAGCCTACTTTTACCTGTAGGGATGTTGCTTCACAAGCACCTGTGAGAGCTGTTTTTGTGATATGTTTGAGTTGGGGGAGGCCCGACGCATGAAAGGGCATAATGAGTCCAAGGGTATTTGCAAGGTTGTTTAAAAATATGCTTTATTTTTATATATATATAATTATTAATATATATATATATATATATATATATATATATAATTCTGCTAGGTGCCACTCTAGTGTTGCTCGGATCTCACCTGGAAGATCTCAAATCCAGCGATGTCCAGGATCCCGATGAACGAGGCTCCCTGCCGCTGCCTGCGGTCCAAGGCTCTGTTGATCCGGTGCACCAGCCAGCGAAACAGACGCTCATATGTGGCCTTCGCCAAAGCCTCTATCGCAAAATCAGCCTGAACACACCCCCCAAAACAAAACAAAAAAATGCAAATTCAGGTTTTTTTCCCAACAGCATCATTGAAGCAAAAAAATAATTTTATTTGTCCTCACTTGATGAAATGTTGCATAAAGTGACAAAACAACAGCCAATCAGGACACGCTAACTGAGCATGAATCATTGGGTCGCATTCACCATTAACTGTGTGGATTATTTGGCATTATACAACAGGGCTGTTGAATGCTTGAATCTGATTGGTTGACAAAAGTTCAATATTTAAAATGAATAGAAAATGAACTCAACTATTAGTAGACAAGCGAGTTTCCTTCTCAGACTCAGTCTGTAATGTATTTTTAAAAGCACGACATGAACACACCTGCTGCTTGGTCTGGGCCTTCTGGACGTACTCGCGGCCCACTTTGATGCGGGGAGTGAGAATGGCTCGGCTGAACTCCAGTACACTGATGCCCAGCAGGTGGCAGAGCTTCTGTGCTGCGGTGTCATCCGGCATTGAGGCCTGATCCGTGTTCTTCTCTTTGTGGAACGAGATGTTCCCAAACTGCAGCACTGCAGAGATCACCTTTAACATCGCTGAAAAGAGAGAGAGAGTGATAGATCAGGATAGACAGCAGGATCGCTGTTTAATTCAAGTACATGTTTTATGAAATCTTCTGGATGTTTCCTTTAAATCTATTTGAGACCCTTTTCTCCCTTACATATGGATTCTTCCTGGGTGAATCCCATGATGGTCACTGAGTCCATTGTCTGAGTGAAGTTTTCTGAATCACTCTGACCCGGAACAGGAAGTGACCCCCCGCAGATGAAGCGATACTCATCCGCGCTGCCCAGCAGAAGCTCCTCTACAGAAAGGGTGTGAATAAATAAACACAATGACTATGTTTCTATAAGTGTATTGTGAGGCAGTGTGTTTCAGTGTTTGTGTGGTCTACTGACTTCTCATGGCCTCAGAAGCTCCAGAGAGGAGCTGGTAGAAGATGTGAAAGGTCCGCTCATCTTTAGCCTGCCTGATGGCTCGAGACTTCTCCAGCAGATCTGATACACATGCAGGTTAAAGAAAAATGCACCGATACACACTTTGGGCCCTATTTTAACGATAAAGTAACTTTGTGGGTGGGTCTTGGGCGCTGTTGCTATTTTATAAATGATAAATGATCTGGTCTCATTGACTTCCATAGAAGGAAAAAAATATACTATGGAAGTCAATGAGACCAGAAACTGTCTGGTTACTGACATTCTTCTAAATATCGGAAAATCGGCTGAATGGATTCGAAAACGTTAAAACTCGACTGTTTAACTCTGGGGAAGTTGTAAAATGAGCCTATTTCCAAAAAAAAAGTGGAGTATCCCTTTAAAACTTACTTTTTAGGCAGTAAATAAATAATGGTGCAAAGACCAGTAAATTGACAAGAGCTAACCTTAGTTAATCTCCCATAAATGTAATGTCTGAAAGGGAAACTCCAACAAATGCATATGTAATAAGTTTAGCCACAAAAATAACCCACGCCTTTTTGGTTAGTTTTTCACTGCGTCATTAATTATCAACTGGTGTAAAAGTGATTTGTAGTGGATGTTTGAAGGATACACGTCTCAATATTAGCACCAACAATATATCCAGCAACATCAAAATTGATCCTGATGAATTTGCCCTAAAACAAATAAAAGAAAATACATGTCAGACCAGAACAAAGCAAGTGTTGAAGATCCAACTCTATGTGATTATGGTAAGATGTGGCGTTTCAACGCTTACAAATCTGGAAGAGTTGTCGTTTTTGACCGTTTTGGCATTCCCGAAGGCCTCGAGGATGGGGTTCGCTTGCAGTAATTGTCTCTCCAGCTCCCCCTAGTCACGGGACAGAAAGAACAGCAGTCGGTGCAGGAAGATTACCAACATTACAGCTAAAAGCCCATCATAAGCCTAGCATCAGCATATGACTGCAGCCAAACAATCACACTCTTTTGCAAAAACACATACGCATTCATTTTACTAAATTGAGACTTACCACAGGCAAGAAACACACCTTCTAAAGGAGTGCAGATGTATTGTAAGGACAAACTACTTCTCAAATCTAGTCAAATGTCAGTTTCTAAAATCTGTTTATTGTACACACACACACACATAAAAAAAAAAAGAAATGTGTGCATACTTTTTTGTGAACAATTATTATAATTATAATTTTTTTTAAAAAAACTATTTATTACCATTAAAAGGTTCTGTTTTAATTATAGAAATAAAAAAAAAATAAAATTAAGTATAGATAAATAATTTTTCATAGCATTTTTTATTATAGAATATAGAATATTTTATTTTTAAATTTAGCATATGACTAATGAATAAATAAGAAAATATGTAAAAATAAATGTCTGGAAACAATTTCCGTTACATCTTTCCTCAGCGTTGAACTTTGTCGTCAAATTAAAACTAGCTCAGAAGAATCACACACACAGACAGCTGAAATGGCAAACTCATAAATTTGCAGCTCAGCAAAAGCCTTAAGCCGGAAAAAAACAAAAAAAAATTCCATGTACAGGCTAGAGAACCCCCGTCTAAGTTATGAGGTTTCGCTCTCACCTATATAGAATAGTATGGTCTATATAGGTCAAAAAACAAAAAACAAAAACAACCATAGCAAAGCTTTAATATGTATACAGTGCCCCCTACAGGCCCATAGTGGAAGCATTAGAACACAACAATACTCACATACTGCATTGTCTGTTAGTCCACAAAAAAAGAGAGATGGGGTGGTTGAACAAGTGCACAGGACACACAGGGGACAAAAAATAGAACATGTTGATGAGCAAAAACATAAAAACATGGTAAAAAAAAATAAACATAAATAAATTAATAAGACATATGATATCACACATTATGAGGTTAAAGTGGCAGGACGTGAATTAGAACTGCTGTAGTTTGAACTGTTGTCTTCTTGTCAGCCGGATGTGTCAGTCATGAAGAGAAAAGCCCCCACTCACCCTGTTCACAGCACTACTGCCACGACCCAGAGAGCGTGTGCCATCCATCTTCAGCAGGACAAAGAGGAAAGAAACCAACAGCAGAAAGAAACAGCAGGACCCAGGAAAGAGAGGAGACAGGGAGAGGAGAGCAACCAAGAAGAGCAGAAATTGAAATATTAGAGAAAAGGAAATGCAAATGAAAGGATTTTTTGGGGTTTGTATGTATGTAGCACACAGATACACCAACATTTGAAGAGTTCAGATGCAAAAGCCTCTAAATGCCATTTGAAATTTTCTTCTAGAATGATCATTTTTATCAAGCTTGTATATTTAAGTTCAGTGATTTCACTTAAATGGCAATGATAATTACCTATTAATTGTTATTTAAGTGAAATTACTGAACTTAAATATACAAGTTTGATAAAAATCATCATTAAAGAAGATAATTTCAAATGGCATTTAGAGGCTTTTGCATCTGAACTCTTCATTTACAGCTTTATAATTCAAGACGTAACTACTGTATAAGGATAGCCTGTGGGAAGTGTGAAAGAGTGAAAAAACTTTTCAATATAGGTGATATATGTAATGTAATATATATATATATATATATATATATATATATATATATTACAAAATTATTTTTGATTTAATTTTTACATTGTTTTTGACAAACTAGTATATAATTCTAAAATTCTAAATTCTAATCATAGTTATGCATCCCTAAACATATATATATATATATATATATATTTAATAAAATACAATTTTGGCAGATGTAATAAAGCAATAAATTAAAACGTCAATCAAAATAATTATAGTCATTTTTATTTGTGGTTCCGGTGAAAATATTGGCAAGGCAACTACAAACATGAAGTACTATCCCAAACGGATCCGTAGAATTTTTTATTATTACTATAATAATTATTGTATTATTACTGCATTTTGTATTATTTATCCTTATTGTTGAGCCATGTAACAGAACAGTTATTAGAAAACTACAGACAACAGCAAAAATAAATAAATAACTAAATAAAATAGAAAGATAAGCATGTGCTGACTTGCTTTAGAAAAGCAGAATGCAGAAATAGCTTTTTCTCTCCGCCAGTGCCCCATCCTTACCTGTAGGGTGTCTTTGGGCCGTCCCAGAGTGCCAGACTTGTGTGAGGACGCTACATGTGCCAAATACTGAATCACTTTTTTTGTGTTCTCCGTCTTTCCTGCACCAGATTCCCCACTGAACACACACACACACATAAACAGAACAAATAAACCACCTTCTACTGTAAAATAGGGGCAGACTATTTTCAGAGTTTTTCAAACAAATACTGGCAGATGACTTAAATAACTTAGCAACACGTGCCAGTAAATGGTAAGAAAATAAGGATCTGGATAAAAACATGTTATTCTACATTATAATAGGCCTTTAGGGACTAAAGCAGGTAAGATTGTGTCTTTTGTGCCCTTTAGGCTTCTGCTGTGCCTACTAAGACCTTAAAGTCAAATACCAGCAGCTCAGTCTTACATCTCTCCTCAAGCTGCAAACCATCTTAACTTCTCCATTTTAAATGCTCAATTTAATGTTCACTGATTTTTCTAAACCACATATATGTAGTCAAACTCAAATTTGCAGTGGCCACAGCCAGTGGAAACTCACGTGCACAGAATGGCCTGATCTTCTCTGTCTGTAGGAGAGAAAAAAAAAAAAACACATGATTAGGGACATTAGAATGACTAATGAACATTTACAGTAATTGCTCTTCTTGATTTAAAAATGAATTTGAATGGTGTCAAATTTCTGAAAATTAAACATTTGGTATTTAAGAGAAAATTTATATAATAAAAATGCTTAGAGAATAATAATTTAATTATTATGACTTTGAAGAATGGGGTGACACCCAAAGACACTGAAAGTAACTCTAAATGACACAATTATACAATTATATCAATATTGGTGGTTTTGCTCCAGTACCCAGATTTTACAGTAGACAGTGGCAATACAACACAGATGTATTATATTTAAACTAAAATAATTATTAAAAGAAAAAAAATTAAGGAAAAAAATACATTGTAAGATCCCGCTGTTATTCATGCAAATGCTTTTAAGCCATCTAAGCATGATAAGACACAAAAGAGAATGCAGTGCAGTACTGGCACGAGTCTGTGAATCTACAGTCTGTGATGTACACACACACACACACACACACTCATGCGCACAGAAGGTTTACATGGGTCAAAAACAACAAAAACAATAATGTTTTGATCATTTTTACAGGGCAAGTAAAAATCTGAACTGTTGGGCCAATAGAAAAAAGTCCTGATATATTGAAGCGCACAGGTAAATGTGACATTCATTACAATAGGTTTATGTAACGATTTTTTAAAAGTTTCCTTAAATTTAAAGTTGTTACATTTTTTAAAGCCTAATAAATGTTCAAATTGGTAGCTTTCATTTATACTGTAATGCTGAATACCTATAATTAATGGCTAAAATAAAATAATAATAATAATAATAATAATAATTCATAGTGTAGCAGTATTGGTGTTACTGGCCTTCTTTCATAAAATGATGCCATTAAACAAACATTTAAAATACAGGTGTCAGAGATATTCAGACATTAGCTTATTTAGTTTCATTATCATGGACTTTTAGTTTGCTTCTCATTATTTCCGGTTGTCTTTGTTCATGTTTCCCGTCATCATTAGTTACTATGGCAATTCATCTGATCATCACACCTGTTAGTCTTTAGGTTCGTTATCAGGGCGTATTTAAGGCCCTGTTTACACGAGAACGCTCACGGGTGAAAACGTAAAAATATTTTATCGGATGTGCCTTTCGTTTACACGGCGATGGCGTTTTGGGGGCTAAAAAACGCAAAAAAGTGAAACCACCCTGAAATCTTAAAAACGCTCCACCGCCGCGTTCCGTGTAAACGGTAAAAATGCAAAAGTCTGCTTGACAGTGCAGGTTGTACGCAGGCGCACGGACTTGGTGTTGTTGTGTGGCAGTGCTCCACGTTGCCACCTAGCCGCTTGGAGTGCATACTACATTGAATTCCACACTCTTTTGCATCACCACATGCACGCGGATTTCCCATCCAAAACGCTCGTCTAAACGCAGAATAAAAGGTGATAACGCAACGCCATTTTTGCATTTTCTCTTCAGAATCGTTTCCGTGTAAACATAGCCTTAGTTCCTCGTTTATCTGCCTTGATTGTCGGTTATTGTTTGTGTATAACATGCTTTTATGTTACCTTTGGATTATCTGAGTTTGTTTTAATAAATAGTTTATATTTGAATTCATCTTCATCTGAACTTCTTCTGAGGACCTTATTCACTGCGATCCTGAAAATAGTCTTCAGTTGTTTCTGTTTCTAGAAATAGAATAGAATGGGGCATCAGTTTACTGTTGGAATTTGTCGTTTCGCGCTGCACCCAGTGTAGACAGCATCACTGATTATAATGGGTTCTGTTTGCTTTAGTCGCGTCACACCACTCGCGTCTGGTTTCGGTAGTTTCGTTTAAAGTGGATTCATCGCCTGTTTTACGTTAACCTGGCAGTTTTTTGCTTAATGCAGAACTTTGCATCATTCACTATTTATTTTTACACGTTTCGCTGAAATACTCAATTCTGATTCTTCAATTGCGCCATTTAACGCTCTGTTATTCTGTTCTACTGGTAACAGACTGAGGAAATACCCGTGACATAATTGGCATGGCTCTTTTTCCCACAAAACACACGCACCAGTTGAGCCAGTTTATTAACCACGGACACACCCTGAAGAGCAGGATCCAAGTAGAAAATGCCAAATCTGAATGTCTCAATCATGCCCGTTCCTAAGTGTGTGAAAGATCTGAAACTTCATGTAGCAACAGAAACTGGTTTTCTTCTTTCTAAATATTTTGACGCAGAGGTGTATGAACAAATTCACATAAACTGAAGCAGGCCTACAGCAGGATAGTTGGTTGCCATGGTACCTTGCAGCATGCTCCTGTAGGCCGCCTCCGATATGGCGTAGATATGTGGAGGCATCTCATGCCGTTTCTTCCCACGATACATCTCTATGATGGATTCTGTATAGATGGGCAGGTTCTTATAGGGGTTGATAGCCACACAAAACAGGCCGGAGTATGTCTGTAGCACACAAACACAATAATTAGGAGAGTTAGAAATAATGGTTTTGTATGTAGAAACTATTCTTGGCAGAGACTGAACAACCTCAGACCGCCCACATTCTTTTCACTGACTGCCTGATGGATCTTGCACACAAAACTAGCAGCCACTTAAAATCAGAAGCTTAGATCTGAATGGCTTCCTGAAGAGTGCTCAGGTTTTTATCTGTTCAAAGTACATTTTTAAACATTGTAAAAGCCAAGCACAAAAAGCAATTTTAAGGAAGAACTAATCATTGGATTTTCCAAAGTTTGCAAGATTAGTTGAACGCTTTTTCTAAAGAGCTCTAGGTGTGCTCGTTTGTACGGCTGGACAATTTGGGCAAAACATCTGTGATTATAAATCAATGTGACATTACTATTATTATTATAAAAATATTAAACGAAATAAAAAAATTCTAGACTATTTCACTATAAAATAAATAACTAATACATTTATGACTAATTATTAAATTATTATAACTAAAACTAATATTTGTGTCTTAATTTTCTCCTTTTCAAACGTTAAACCACTGAACTTTTATTTAGGTGGAATATAAAAATAATAACAAATGTACCATATTAATTTGAGTGAATTTTACTCTGCATTTATTTTAGTCGAAATTTGGTTAACGTTAAAGTGAAACATTTTTACCAAATATTCATATATATAGTTTAGTGCCGTCAAACGATTAATCGCGATTAATCGCATTCAAAATAAAAGTTTGTGTTTACATAATGTATGTGGATGCACTGTGTATAATTATTTTGTATATATATAAATGCACACACATGCACGTATATTTAAGAAAAAAAATATTTATATATAGAAAATATTTATATTTATATATAATATAAATTATATATAAATCTATACACAGTATATACATGAAAATATTTCTTAAATATATACAAGCATGTGTGTGTATTTATATATATAAAATAATTATACACAGTGCACCCACATATATTATGTAAACACAAACTTTTATTTCGGATGCGATTAATTGTTTGACAACCCTAACATAATTACATTTTACTTGTGCAGTCAAATCGATTAATAATCACATCTAACATTACGATTAATAATCAGATCTACTGTAACATAAAAGTTTGTGTATATGTGTGTGCATTTGTATATATAAACACACACACAGTATTTACTAACTTTTAAGTTATCAAAAGTGATACTCCTCCTTATATATAAATACTCCTTGATCTTGTGTTTGTATAAGTGAGTCTGTTCATGTGTGTTTGTACTTTCTTGGCTGCGTTCTACATAAAACCTGAGCAGAAATTCAAACCGTGAGCCTTTGATGAACAAACACACGTGTGTATATCTCTGTGTGTAACACTATCCTTCTCACTTACTCAGAGAAAACCCACACACTCATGTGATGGCAGGGGACAGTCGTGGGCATGTGTCAGGATCGCTAAAACATGTGGGAAACAACTCTGGCTAAAGAGAAACACTCACATATATGAGTCCTGAATAGTATCTCTCTCGTAGATTGTGTAAGACAGAGGCCTCATTGAGGCATGTGAGATCTGCCATATCTTCGACTTTACTGAATCGGGGAGGGTTCATCCGCTGCAGCTCCTCCCTCGAAAGCGTCATTTTCTTCCCCGTTTCAGTAAGCTCCACCTCCACCTCGTCGCCCCGCTCCTCGCGCACACTTGCAGACTGACCAAAGGAAACACAGGCAGAAAAAGAAAGGATGACGAGAGATTCAATTATTACCAACGCCACATTTGCAGCCAATGTGTCAATGTCCTAATATTAACATTAAAGTCATAATCACTGTAAAGTCAAATGTGAAATGTTGTTGACTCAGATATTATGTAGACAAAAATCAAAAAGTTCACAATTATGCACATTCATGTCTCAGTCCTGTAATGTCAAACAATAAATGAAAATATAGCTGCAAGCATCGATGACGGGCCCAACTGTGGACAACTGTGCAAGGCGGGCAATCATTTAAATGTGCCACATTAGTCTGTTATCAATTAAATTTAGATTCATTTCATGTCATAGGATGTCATAGGACAATTTCAAATGAACGTGAAGTTATCATTTGCAGCTCAAAATATTGTAAGTCCATAAGTATTTATCTTAAGGTACTTTTAAATTGATATAATACTAATAAATATGATAATATACTGTATATAGTTTTTTTACTTGTTTTATTTTATATACATTTTATGTAAATGATCTATTTTTTTATTTTTTGTATGGAATATGATTTCAGTAATTTGACATTTCATGAAGGTTTATGGTGTCATGATGTTTCGGGAGATGCACCCAACCAGAAATGTTACCAAAGCACAGTGGGACTTTAGTGGGTTTATTCAAACAACATTGTGAGATAAACACACACAGTTTCTGTGTTTCAGAGCTTGATAATGATACTTAATATTCTCCTACAGACCACCGAGTCTCTCACACAAGCATACTGACTTTGTTGGAAACAGAGAATACATTCATGTTTGATGGAGACAGACAGTCTGAGGGGGAGTGTGTCAGGGGTCCAGAAACAGAAATAGATATACTGAGACATAGAGAGTGAGAGTATAGAGTGCCACTGTCATGACCTCCAACAGGAAGTGCTGAGATCTCCCTCTCTGTTCTCTTCAGCAGTGCGTCACATTCTCAACATGGGACACTTCATGACGAGGACTCAATTCGCATTGCGGTGACGTTCAGTATTGAGCAACCCCTGTTTCAACAAGTGTGTTGAGCTATTTATAGAGTGTCATATCAAAGCACTAAAGCCACGTGTTCGGTAGGTGGGCTGCATAGGACTTTCTGAAGTAGCTTTTTAGATCTGAAACTTTAACTAGAAGGAGACCAACATAAACAAGGTCAAAAGTTAAGGAGTGATAAGAGCCTCCTGTCATGGTTTGTAATACAACAGCTCCTCGAGAACCTTGGGTAACCAGCTAAAAGTTCTGGCTCATTTTGTGATCATTTAGTCACCTGATATGTTTTAAAGGGCACCTATTATGGAAAATTGAACATAAATGTGTGTTGGCAGTGTGTGAGCAAAACCACCCTAGAATGATAAAAATCCACCCAGTGGTTTTTTTACAATCTCAATAAATCATATGCACTGTCTCAGAACGAGCTGTTCTGAGATTCAGCTCTTTGTGATGTAGAAAGTGAGCAAGGGGTTTGATTGACAGTGTGGCTGTGGCCTAGACCCCGCCCTCGGTGATCTGTACACATCATCCTCCATTGTTTCAACGACAGCCGGTAATGTCTCTTGGAAACATAACTTAAGTGTTCTGTCGTGGACTCATGGGTTAATCCTGTTGTTGTGGCTTAAAAGTTAATCCTCAACTGTGGATAGTCCTCTACTGTTTGCGATCCACCGTCACCCCAGTAACAGTAAGTGTGTTTCATGATTTTTGAGCAAATAGTCTTTTCAGTCGATGTCAGCCAATTCAACAAATGCGTCTAAAGTTGTTGTCGTCGTAGGATGTCTGTATATATAATTTAAACCTTGTTTGTAGTGTGTAACCACACGTTTATAAATATATATATTTTTAAAGATATTGTATTAAAAACCGCATATATGTTCTTGTTCTGTAAGTTAGCCATCTTCTCATATTTGCCACAGAAGCACCTGTATGACAAGTAAACATGACGCCACAGGTCCCTCGCATAAATATAATTTCGCTTGTAAGTTACGTAGCAAACTTTATCACAGAATGTGTATGTAACGTTAGTTTAAAAAAAAATGCGCCAGCGTTAGTGTTTGTGTGTCTATGTGTGTTGCTCCACCATACTTGCAAAGAGGACGCGATTACAACGCTAAAGTACATAAATGTATCAAATAACCATACCGAGACGTACTGGTCCATTCTCATTTGTGTTTATTCTGCCGGAGTCTCTTCGTGCTATTTATTTATTCCGATTCAAACGTACGATGAATGACAGACAAAACAGCGCGTCTCTCACTCTCCCCTTCTGCTTAGACCGACTGCCATAGCCATAGGTATCAAGTTACGCCCTCATCCAAAGGCAGGGCGGGGATATGCAGCTCATTTGCATTAAAGTGGCATGCCTCAAAACAGCTCATTTTCAAACAGGCCCCAAAATGACATTTTCAAATGGTTATAATAAATTAACTGTGGGATATTTTGAGCTGAAACTTCACAAATACATTCTAGGGACACCAGAGACCAATATTACATCTTGTAAAAAGGGGCATAATAGGTGCCCTTTAAATTGTCATTATTTACCTTGGAATTTTAGGGAATATTAAAACTGGTTCTATGTTCACAGGAGACACAAGGTAGCAAGCTTGTATATCCATAAGTGGGAATGATATTTGAAAGCTACAGTGGAGAGGTAGATTTCTTAGTCAATAACGACATGATTTTGGGTTTGTTTCACACTGAAATCAATCATATGACTTACGAATATAGCTTATGAGCGTTAAGGACCACATGTATGCTGTCACTGTATTGAAAAGAACGGTCTTAGGGCCGGTTCATACAAAATGTTTTTGCTGTTTACACGCCAGTGTCATGATTATGGACTCTTATTTTGGCATTCTGTTTTGTTTCCCTTAGTTCCTGTATTCCTGCTCTGTTTAGTTTTGGTTTCCTTCATTTCTGATTATGTCCTCCTTTGTTCCTATGGTAACTAGAGCCAGAGCGATACATCGGCCAACCGATATTATCGGCCGATATTAGGCATTTTCCAAAATATCGGTATCGGCAGTTATAATGGCCGATAAATGAATATTTCAAAAATAAAATAAAAACGGATGAAACACGGTTCAATCATCTCTCCTTGGCCTGTTATATTGAAAATGTATGTTTTACAATTTGCAGTATGACGTTATCTATTGCTAAATTATGGCTCATCATAGACTAGCTAACCACAAAGCTAGCTAATGCCACTATCATCAGTGGAAGACCACTAACGTTAAAGGCACTCTATGCAAGATCTGTACCTTAATATAACAGCTTCAAAGTCGTTTTGGTGGTTAACAAAGTCATAGTAGGGCGAATCATCCTGGTAGGAAAGCTTGGGGGGGACGCCGCCGGAAAAACCAGCCATGCAAGTTTGAGAGTGGCGCCCCTGACACAGCGCGTGAGAATCACGAAATGGTTTACGGCAACGACGTCACACGCATCAACAACATCATACTGTATGAAGCTACTTTCGAAACAGGGAAAGAGAATCGGACCGTGCTAGAAACCGGACAAGAGTCCACTCGGTCGGGCTTTCACTCGTTGGCGCGAGCTTAAAAGCTGCACTGGATTGTAACTGCGATGCTGACCTGGCGATCTTGTTGATGGACTTGTAAGTAAATCTCTTATTTATAAACTTGTTTGTATTTGTATACTAGTTGTTTCTATATTGTATGTTGCTGCACTGGCTTGTGGTATGTAATTTTTTACGGTGCTGTTCATTCATCCGTTGTTGATAATAAGACCAGTTCAATAATTCTCACATGTCTATAGCTTTCGATTACCAGAGCTTTAAGCAGACTTCCAAAAAACAGTCGTTTCTCTTAGTCTTGTTGTTTTTTCCGTTATGTTTTATTGCCGAGCTTGCCACAAGAGCTAGTTTGCCAGCTGAACTCAGGTGTTGTGATGTGTATTTATCACGTATCTTTAGTCCTGTGTCTGGTTCGGATTTCTTATGACGTGTGTAAGTTACTGTTATATCAAGTTTATCTGACTAACAGTACACTTCCCGACTGTAACTTCAAATTGTGTTGATTATGAATCAATCAAATCTTGACGCTGTTGATGTTGATTCTTGCGATTACCATGAGGACATAGTCAATATCTCACATAATTATTAGGACATATATAAGCCTAGAGGTTGTAAATAATTGAACACAATTTGCTATTATGATAAATTGTAATCATGTCTAAATCATAACGTCCAATGTTATGAAATAATGCGACGTACATTTAACTTGATTGATGTCATCTGACATTTTGTAATTTTAACATTACAATCAAAAAACATGAATGAAATTATACAGTAGCCTATACACTATAGGCTATTTACTTCTGATTTTGCAGAAATCATGTAAAAACGCTATAAGCCAGCAAACGCGATAGGCAACTTTATTATTAAAAAGCAGTCTAGCACTTGACAGTATATGCAGTAACAGGGGAATAACGGTTATTTACGACAGTGCAAGTACACCACAGCGGCTCTAGAGGTCACTGTTTTACAAAAAAACCAGAGAGTGCATAGTGTGCCTTTAACATTAATGAGCTTGGAAACCACAATGAACTTTTTCTGCCTAAATAAAGTAATGATTACCATAATTATAACTAGCATGTCCCTGCATTGTAAAATGTAAGTAAGACTTGTGAGGAGTGAACATTTAGACATAGAGAAAAAGTATCAAACAAATCTTATGCATAAAAGTTAGCTTTTCTTTTACACGTGTGTGAAATCGAACGACTCCAACCGTGCGTTGCAGACTGTCGTTCTGTAATGGATTTAGAATCGCTAAATAGTAAGTTTTAGAAGGCAGGCAGCAACTGATGATTGAAAATGGTTTGATGTAGCTTGATGGAAATAATTTAAAAAGTGCAGGTAAAGGGATAAGCAGGCTGACATTGTAATTATAAGGTAACTTATAAGGCAATGTAGGGACTAATTATTATTTTATTTATCAGAACTTTAATATATTTGATGTTCCTCATTCTGTTGTGACAATAAAAGAAACAAGTTTCTTTTTAAAATGCTTTATCATATTATTTTAGTTAAAACTCATAAATAACTACAAATAACTATGTTAGGGAAATCTGTTAATGTTTTGTTGCGCGTTTCTGGAAAAAAAAAAATATCGGCCGATATATAGGAATATCGGATTTTAAAACGCAAAAATATCGATATCGGCCTTCAAAATCATTTATCGGTCGGGCTCTATAACATATTATCTGCACCTGTCTGTCATTATGTTCGCCTTGTACTGTATTTATATACCCCGAACTCCAGTTCTTGTAGTGGTTTGCGATTTCTCCTGTTTTCCCAGTGTCAATAAGTTTTCAAATAGAGCTGCTTGTGTGGTTAAAACCTTTTTCCAAAAGATTATTGGAGTTTAAGGCTTCTTTATATTTCCATCGGGATTAGTGAATCAGGATAAACTCAGGATTATACACAAATTGTGATTACTCACAGATCCCAAGCATGATCATCAAAAACACAGTGTGTCAAAAGCAAATAGTACCCTTTATATTATAGAATTAGTGATACTGTCTACACTGGACACGGCACAGCGTGACACCACTGAGAGTTAACAGATGCCTGGTTTACTTCTGAAGTACTACACGCACTTGCGCTAATTTACAAGAAGGACAAATGGTTTTTACATTCGCTTTGATGCGTCCAGTGTAGACAGTCTCGCACGGGGAAGACACAATCTAACGACTGATTTTGCCTTAGCACAAACGCGGAGACAAATATAAGACATAATATCATGTATAATACCAAATATGAGCCCAAATGACCATTAAATACAGTACAAGCCTCAGCATCGCTGCAGCGTGTATTTGGGGTTTTGCGAGTTGATAATGCAAATAAAAATCTGCATTTATTTTGGATGCTGTAAGTAACTTTTAAAATTTAAAAACTATTAAGCCTGATTCCTATTAAATGTCTTTTGTGTGATCACGTGTTTTAACCGATATGCATATCGCTTTGGAGCATTTCACTTTTAAATCCATGATCAATATGATCAACTATCTCTTTGAAAAATTACCCACCTATATCTTCTCTACAAACAAATGGAATTGTAATACGTTTATTTAATGTTTAAAATACTATTTATAATGACCTATAGAGCGTAATACACAGAGCTGCTCATATAGGGGTCATGAACTTTAAAAAAAAATGTATATTGTTGTCTGAGGTCAACTTATGACGTTCGCTCGGTTTTTACATTCAAAAACATCGAAATGAATAAGTAATAGGCTATTTTCTACCCTAGTTTTGAGCCTAGCTAAAAAAAGCTTGGTTTTTATGGGCGTCTCGCACTGAAGACTTGTAAGTAAACGCCCACTGCTGTGAGTGGAGAACAGTTTTGCATATTATAATGAGTTTCAACTCACTCGTCGATGCACTTGGGGGAAATTGTTTTGAAAACTTCCAATGTTGTAAAATGGCAACCGAATGATTCGCCCATACATTTTCGAACCAGAGTCCGGATCCAATATAGAAGGTACAGCAGCGTTTTTTAATCTTAATCGGTCTGCAAATCCAGTCTGCAAATCCAGTCCTCAGTAAATGAAGCGAACGAACGGAAAATGTTTTACCCTCATCAGCTGGAATGTCATTAAAAATAAAGTTTAACCAGTCCTATTGGAATCCAGAGGAAGCTTATGCAGCGACTGTCTTGTCCCACAACCAGGCACTGCACAATATTTTGTAAACGGCATGTTTATCGATCCGGTTTGTCATCACGAGGTAGGCGTCTATGTTATTTAGCTATGCATGTAATGCACGAATCAGTGGGCGGGGCTAAACCGGCCGTGTTGAAGTAGGCGTCGATCTTCTTCTGTGGGGCTGGTGTTTTGTCCTCTTTGACCTCATAGTTCCCCACTTTTAAAAATGAGTCGTTTGCTGAGCCTGGTGTCAATAAAAGCTTTTATTGGACTAACAAGGGCATTTTCAGTTCAGAAAATTACAGGATATTCTCATAATATGATGACCTCTTAGATGTCAAAAGCTCAGGGAAAATTTGACTTCTCAGTTCATCACCCCTTTAAAACTGTTTGACTGAAGAACTGGGAAACGCTATTGGCGCTTTTTACACCTAAAGTAATTACACCTATTACACAAACTCACATCTATCACGAGGTTGAATCCAGTTATTCATTATTCAGCTATTTATTGATTCTTGTTCTATCTTGAATAACATGACGCTTCCATAACGTGTTGTTTCCCATAACAGAGATCTTTATGTCTTTCTCACATTTTCAAAGGCTCATAAAATATAAAACTGTGGCTTGGCTTGATACACAGTCTAATGGTCTACTGAAATCTAAAATTTAAACATCTTTTACAGTACCATTTCATGGGCCTTATACTTCTAATTTGAGCCGATGCAGATGAATGAGTAAAGTGCAGCGGTGCATAAAGCCAATTATATCTAATTATTTATTAGATCTGAAATGTTAAAGAAATTAAACCGAATTTGAAAAAAAGGTTAGATTTTGCCTCTCTAGTATTAGTAGGCCTTATCGAAAGACAAAAACTATATTATTTTTTTGTTTAGGCCTACCATTTATTTTATTGAAAATTTACGCCTTTAATTTATTTGTATTATGTCATATTCGCTGTATATGTAAAATTTGCATTAACTGATTTTTTTTACCCAGTTCAAATTATTTAAATGTTTTTCTATATTGATTCATTTTCAAATATTTTTTTTCCAATTTAGTTTTTATTTAATAGATTATATATATATATATATATATATATATATAGGGCGTTTACATTGGCCACATTACCTTCTAAAATATTAGCTATCAAAAAAAATGTATATTAGTTGACCAAAACTCTTTGAATCAGCCTTACCTCAAACCCATGTTTCTCTGAAGGCACCCATACGAGTCTCTTAGCTGCCCAATCAGCTTGGCTGGAGGCGGAGAACTTTGAGGTTGGTGACCCAGGCCCCGCCCCCGTGGACAGGAAGCGGGTGACATCATTAACACTGCCCCCCGCTGGCCTGGACATGGTTGTAGCACTGCGCAGGAGAAACATAGAGAAACACAGCAGAGACCGATCATTACTCTTAATCGAATCATAACCATCATCATTATGATGCCACTGAGGCAATCAGCCAGTCCATCAATCACAGGATAGGGCAACAGATGGGACGAAGGGAGATAAACCAACAGACAATGAGTGTTGAGAGAGAAATATAGATGATTACAGTATTGTGACATTTAATACTGCAGTTAAACTGAAGGACACACTGATCAAGAGCTTCCGCAGCAGTAGGCTGATGAGAAAATGTGTGTGTGACTATGCATAGCCTGTGTAAATATGATTAAGAAAATATACAACCACATGCACATATTTGTATTTTTGATCTTGTTACTGTATTTCAGCACCACAGCTCCACCAATGAATTGTCAACTATAATAAACATGAACCAAAAAAATGTCAAATTTTTAGGATACTGTATTTTAAAGATAATTTTGTAAATTTCAAATAAGCTTAACAGATCTTTACTGAAAACGGTTTAAACAATATGTTTAATGCTCGTCCCATAAACCATAAACAATTATTACACATACACCTGTGGAACAGTCCTTAAAGGGACACTCCACCCATTAGCATTAAAGGATAATTCCGGTATTTAACACCTTGAGTCTATTTTGTAGTTTGTTTTGAATGAAATAGAGTGGTGGACTTAGAAATTTTGACAATGGGTCCTGTCTCGACTTTTTGACTTTTTTGACTGAATCGCCTGTGACAGCGTTAGACTGGCTGTCTATGGGCATGCACAAACATGTCCTTAAAACAACCCTTAACGTTCATTTTCAAAACTGTGCAACTCACTGAGTGGTTGGTGGTGTTCATTGATGATTAAAAACAAATATATCGGCGCAATGTATGCTTTCAATCCGTGTTGTTTGCTATTGTGGAACTATTTATTCAGATACCTCACAACCGGGTATAAACATCCGCTCGATATTTGAGTCTGAAGCGTTAGCACACTCCCGACCACTTGATGGCGACAACCAGGACGCTGTACGGAACACGGTGTCTAGCGCACCGTAAAAAAAGTCCGGAAGCACAGTTGCTCTGCTCACGCTAGCCTTCTGAGAGACGGAGAACCGAGCGAAAAGACTACAACCAAATGTAAACAGACCCCTTTCCTTTTCCGGTAGCTAGCGCAGTAATATCAACGAGCACTGAGTCCTCCAGCAGACATCAATGCGATTTTAAAAAATGACAAATAAAACACGACAGAAACGGTATTTCGCTACGCTACTTGTTTCAGAACATCAAGGAACACCACCAACCACTCGGTGAGTTTTGAAAATGAACGTTAAGGGTTGTTTTATGGACATGTTTGTGCATGCCCATAGACAGCCAGTCTAAAGCGGTCACAGGCGATTCTAAAAAAGTCAAAAACTCGGGACAGGACCCATTGTCAAAATTTCTAAGTCCACCACTCTATTTCATTCAAAACAAACTACAAAATAGACTCAAGGTGTTAAATACCGGAATTATCCTTTAACATTTCCATTCTTAGAAATCCAGTTATACTATTGAATGGTCGTGCAACACTTTCTCATTTTCCCCGGAGACGAGAGAAATCCGCTATTTACCTTTTTCACTTCCTCCTACAATGACGCAAAAATCGTCATTTTACGTCATTGTAGGAGGAAGTGTAAGACTTCTGTCAAGACTACAAACACTAGTTCCCACCCTTTCAAACCCGCCCATAGGGGGCTGGACCTAATGCGCTAACAGACCAATCACAGATCAGTGCCAGTGCGTTTGATTTCACTTTTTGAAAATATGGAAGAAGGTACTGAATACACAGACGGATGCATTATGGATAGGGTTGGGTACCGAAACGCGGTGCCAATAGGAAACCAGTTCCAAAGCAAACCGTAATAAGCAGACCGAATAAGGATGAAAATGTCGGTGCCTGAGTCTCTGTGTCATGAGGCGCACACACGCAAAGTCTCTCGCTCTCTCCCGATTTGGAGCACAGTCTGATCTGTCTCGCATGCGCACTCTTGCTCACTCGCTCTAGATTACGGAAATTTTAACTAGCCTAATTTGCGGGCATCAGGGAGCAATTATCAATATGCGGGAGACTCAAATTACACGTCAGAGTAAGTGACGTGTAAGTGAGCCAATCCATTGGCTGATGGCGCGGGCGCCGCCTTGACGCTCTTGCGTCGTCATATTATATTTGCGCGAATTATCTGATTTCATTGTACGAAATGATTTCCAGGCGGTAGCGTAGAGTGGAGCTCAACTCTAGTATTGATGGGTGGAGTAGTGGGAGTGGCCTGCTGAGCACTGCAATGCACTATGGGGATTGTTGTCTACAATCCACAAGCACTAAAAAGTCATTTTCTGCCTTTTATCAGCCAAGAAGCACCCAAATTAGAAATTTATGATGCTATTCTACTACATATATGACCCACTTTCAATACATATTCATGTCTCCACTTGTGGAATTACCCTTTAAGACACAACCACAACCAAATCACTTATGACGCTAAAGGATGAGAACGGGCTGCACTATTATAGTACTAAAAACAGTACAGTAAAAACAATATTTTGATTTTGCTTATGACAGTGATTTGAAAATACTGTTCAAAAGTGCAATGGCGGTTGGCAAGATTTTTTAATGTTTTTGAAAGAAGTATATTTGCTTACCTAAGGCCACAACTATATGATCAAAAATACAGTAACAAAAAGTATATTGTGAAATTATCATTACAAATATTATTTTACTTTTTAAATATTTTAAAAAGTTATTTATTATTGTGTTAGCAATTCTGAATTTTCAGCATCAATATTCTAATATTCAGTTACATGATCCTTAAAAAATCATCATAATCTGCTGATTTGATGATCAAGAAAATGTTTTATTGTTATGTAAAAACAGGTTTGCTGCTTAATATTTTTGTGGAAACCGTATTAAATTATTTTTCAGGATTCTTACATTCTTCTCATTAGCCATTCCGTTTCATGATGACTAATTTCTTTTCTTTTTAAAATCTTACTTTGCAGCCAAATGGTCTAGATGCAACATCTTACAACATGGGCTAACAGAATCACCTTGACTCTGTGGCATGCAGTAAGCCATTTATGAGAAACACTGTTGAAAGTGGATCGGTCTGCGCAACACACTTGTAGAGAGAGTAAGTGAGTGAGAGGGAGATTTGAAGAAAGACTGTAGAAAGAGAGATGGCTGGGAGACATTGTAAAAAAGAAAATGTCTGAGGAATATCATTGGAAAAAGAAAGGTTAAGATCAGGGAAGAGCTTTAGGACTCGTGTTAATATTAGAAAAGCTTTCCAGAGATGAGACCGGGAAGTGGTAAGATCTGAAAACGGATGCAGAGGTCACGTTGCTTCTGCTCCATATGCGAGTAACATTGGTTTTGCTCTAGTTAATAGGCTAATAGTTTTTCATTTTCATTTTTCATTTTGCTTCCCTTTAGTTATGATAAAGAGACACCTACTGTACTCTTGCATTGCGTGTTCATGTGTTTTGGGGGCGGAGCAATGAAGGGAGGGGTGTGTTTGTTTGGGTTGATTTCAAATATCAACAGTGATCAACAATGTTTCTCAGAAATCCCTTAAAGCAGAGCAGCGTTTTCATACCACCACCACAGTGTTTAGACAAATCATATCAACCTATGAAAGGCTTATAATTATCTTTGCATGTTAAACTGGGATAGGAGAAAGCATTTTAGCACAGAAATAAAAATGACACACTACATCTACATACAAGTTTCGTCTTCCTATCTCTGTGTGTGTGCGTGTGTCTCTGAGGTGGATAGGGGGACAATGTGCATGTTCTGAATTTGATGGATCGGTGAAGTGACAACCAGGCCAGAAAGCAAAGAGTGGAAATGAGGTCTACACATATAAACGTCCAGAAAAAAACAGGCCATTCAGGACGTACAGTATATTCCAATCCATGATACATACTGCCAAATAAGCTGGCTACTTGATTGCATTCTAGGGCATTATAGTGGGGGACTACATCTTAAAGGCATAGATGAACACTAAACCTGCAGCTAAAAGATATAGTTCATTCATTTACTCAACCTCATGTTTCAAACCTGCATGACAGTTTTCCATGAAACACAAAAGGAGATGTTACACAGAACTCCACTGCTGCTCTTTATTGAATGTGAATGGGTGTCGAGCTCCAAAAATCCCCATTAAAATGGTCTATATGATTTAAGCAATGAATATGATATATTACAATCGTAATCCATACTTTTGTGTAAGAAACAGACCAAAATAAGTAGCTCTCAAATGTCATTCATATTTGCTAACATTAAAATATGGTGTGTACGGCTGTCAGTTACTGTCGATTATTTTGGTAATAACTACTCAGTAAATTATTTGATGATTAATCAAGCAATCAGATATGTTTTGTAGTAAGTAGCTTAATAAAAAAATAGACCCATTGAACAATAAACAGTTACACTTTATTGCACTTTATTGTAAGGTGTAATTACATAATTAATACTAGTAATATTAATTCAAGATTAGAGTTTGGTTAAGGGTTAATGTTTCTGTTGACACTTTAGTTTACAGTCTTTGTTACATATGTACTTACTGTGGTAATAACAGTCAATTATGCATAATTACATGCAACTAACCTAAACCAAACCAACCCCTATTCCTAACACAAGTACATACATGTAGTTAATTATATTACTCAATACTGAAATGTATAATTACACTGTAACAAAGACACCTTAAAATACGTAACCATGTTTCATTTAATGTAACGAGTAATGAAGTGTTACCGAATAGCCTTTAAATTGACTTAAACTATATATAAACAATAACAATGTGGCAATATTCATTGAATTAATATTAAAAGTAATCTTAAAATACATAATATACTGTATGTGTGCACATCAGCCTATTTTATACTATGGCAGAGACAGATATGCATTAAAATATGCATAGACGGCTTGTAAATTAGTGAGGTTTGGAACAACATGAGAAAGTCATGAAAATCCTCATTCTGATGTCCAGTATCGCTCAGATAAACAGGTTCTCTGATTAATTTAAAAGAGCATTGGTATATATTCACAGTATAAATCCATATTGCAATCAATTAGAGCACTTTGTTCTGACATCCTAAGGCTATGAGCCTGTGGGCAATACAGGTCCTGCTTGACCAGACGCAGTAGTGGCCTCACCCGTCTGGGGTTTCAAGACTTTTCATTACGAAACTTGTTCAACCAATTAAAGGCATCCAAGTTTTATGTCTGAGGTTGTGCAACACATAGGGAATGTGTATGAACTAGCCAAACTATTGTGTTTTAGTCATCTGCTCTTAATCCCAGTCCTCAAAATTCCCCAGAGGGCTTCGGAGGTTTTTTTTTTTTTTTCCACAGAACACAGAATGATCGTAATGCTGGTTGGTTTAGGTAATTCGCATGTCAATCACTTGGGTGTGTTTTCCTTGAAGTGTGTTGGCAGCATCAGCCACATGACAGTTGCACCAGTTGCACTTTGAAGACATTTCCAAATGTTCACACACTGCAGAATGTGTAAAATGCAGGGCCATTATCAACACATGCCTCTCAATATTCAAATTAATGGTCGATGGTCAGATTAATGGGTTTTTTCAATGGTTTAAGCATGATGTGAGTGTGTGCTCACTACACTAGAAAGTCAAGGGGCCAGGGTTGCACACACCTTATCCATGACACCATCCCTCTCACAGTGCCTATGAGATCATGTCTTACACACAAGAGGTGAACCTGTCCAAGTGTGTGAGTTTGTGCGTGACAAATATGAAAGGAATGAGGGTGTATCAGTCTCGTTCTCATCCGCTCTCAATTTTCACTTTTAAAAGTATTTTACGTGAAATATTGCCAACACACAAAAAACAAAACAAAAGATTTTCTAAATAATAGAAAAAATAAACAAGGTGACAGTAATAGCAATAACAATAATTGCAAAATATAAGGGAAAACTCATTTAAAATTAATAACTAAAATAAAGAGTACTCCATTGTACAGACAATGAATGAAGTCAGTATGAATTTCAGAGCTGTGCCTGCAGTTCATATATAAATTTGGCTGTGACAGATGCATGACTGTCCTCTCTCTCTCTCTCCAATACAAAGTAGCCTAATTAGGGTAGTTTCATGCTGATATTTCATTTCTGACTAGTGAGATAATAATACACATGATCAGATGAGACTAAACAAAAGGGATCAACATGATCATGTGTGTGTGTCTGGTTCTCCATGACGGATCCTCAGCATCTGACGCGGCAAAAAAAAAAGCATCAAACACGCGGTCTACCTATTCTTTATTATATTATTACAATGCCGCTAGTGACGTTCAGTTCTCATGGCAACATAATTACGATACGGCATTTTGGGGGTATTATAAGCGCGTTCCAGTCTGACTCAGTCATGCTGCCTTATAATGCTGTCTAGGTAGTAAGTGCCCTAGGTTTTGAGACACCGCGCCGGCCGGTAGCTGGGCTCGGATCTATGACTTGCAAAGCTAATCTATTATCATAATAGAAGACCTACAAAAACATTGAAACCACACCTCGGGCATTATTAAGGCTGTATGTGACAAAGAAATAGAGCAGCTCTGATGGTGGGTTAATGCAGCACAGAAAGGCATGGACCGTTCATACTTTCTTAAGATGGCTCAGGGAAACACCCTTTAACGGTGATTATTGTATCTGCATATTAAGATGAGAGATCATGAGACATTAATGTCTCTGAATTATTAAATATATGCATTTACTTGCATCTCAAGTAGCGTGCTATTAGAAAACACTTAATACATAATGTATAAAACGTTTTGATACCGCAAATGCTGTTAATGTGCCCGCGATGTGACTGTTTTCAATAATGAATTTTAATGCAGGGGTCTTGCCAGATCTTGTCGGGGGGTGACTGTCCCTCTCCGGTGTCATTTTCGGCTTTATTTCGAGGCCCTATATCCCACTGAAACATGATCACGCGCACGGCACAGAATAAGGAGATACGGACATAATACAAGACAACGCGCGTCTTACCTTAAATGTGTTAATCCACTCTCGGGATATGGCTAGAGCTGTGAGGAGAAAAGAAACGTGCTCTCGTGTTTTTCTTTTTCAGTGTGAGAGGGCTAATAGTGCAAATGCGGCTTTTCACATTACAGCGCTCGCGTGAAGCCGCAAACTCATTCACACTGAGAATAAAATAGACAGTAAAGAGAAGTGATGGCAAACGGAGGACTTCACCAAAAGCCCGACGGCATCCTGACTATTGACCAATGGCGTTTAGGATACACACGCGTAGTCCCGCCCTCCAGAAAATAGAAGCTAATTAAAGCCCTTAGTATCCCCTTAAACCCGCCTTCTGAATAGGACAGAGCGGCCACGCCTTTGTACTGGCGGATTCTCGCTCGACAGCCAATCATACGCGTGAAGATGAGAATGACAGCACTGGAGAACCAATGAACCGAGAGGATTGGGTGAGGCTTGTCCTGATTGACGTGGTTGGTGGCCAATGGCGCGAGAGCAGCAGGTGCCGCTGTAGGACTGTCGCGCGGAGCGGTAGAGAGATTTGCGCGCTCTTTGTTGACAGCAGCGCAGTGTGTGTCTGACTTGTCTGCCGCGGGAATGATCCCTGAAGCTGGGCGCCCCAGATTCCGCACTAATGCCGAGGAATCGGAGGATCGAGGTCTGGATGGCCGCGCCTAACAATTAGGTCAAACCCGGAACAAAATTCGATCTGATATTTAATTTAAACACAAATAAACCATTTTCGTCTGTACAGCTGACATATAGTTACCATTTAGCACTTGATAATTATTTATTGATTTGTATTTATTGACATGTAGGCAATTAGAAGACCTCATAACAATATTCATAATATTAACAAGAATATTCAGTCATATTTTATTACAATTGATAAATACGTCGTATGCATAAATGACGATGATGATCATTATCATTATTGATAATAACAGTAATAATAATATAAATTAACAATTTTGTTTTTGTTATTAGGTATATAATATTATTAATCTTGTTATTATTAGGTAGGCTAATACTGGCATTACCTAACAATTATTACAATTCAGACGTTATAAAAATTCTGAACTTTTTAAGCCCTGCAATTAAAAGAAATTAAAAGAAAAGTCGGAATACATAGAAATAGGAGACAAGTCAAGAAAACATGTTTGTTTATTCTTGTCCATGAAGCAAATTCAGTCAATGGTATCAAAGGAACAGCACAGAGGCCTGGACACTGATTGACCAATAACTTAAACAGCATTTAGAAAATGAATTAAAAATAGAACATGAGCCACTGGATGCCATGGTGAACTCAGGCATTACTGAACTGAGTATGAAAGCATCTGATAATTAGACAGGGTAAGTATTTAACAATGAGGTCGAGGTGCAAGTGATGGTCCAGTTATGGCAGAGATGTTGAACTAGCACTCAGTCACACATACAGGTCTATTAATAGAATTTTGTGATCAGGAAGACTAATCATAACCAGACAAGCTTACATACAGAGAAACAGGAAAAAGAAAAGTAGATTACAATAGCAAATAAGCATAATGGGTCAATTAAAACAATAATTGTTTATTGAAACAGAGCCCAAGGCTATACATATCTATTTTCTTAACTGTACATATCCCTAAGTTTAACTTGCAATACCTGAACAGGGTTAGTACATGTATATTTCAGTCCTCACATAAAACTAGCAGAACTGGAGAGACAGAGACAATTTTATCTTCTGCCTCTATGAATATAAATTTTCTGACTAAATTTAACCATAAATCTTCTATGCTTAAAAAAACCTTTCTGTGATACTATGCAATCGTATATTCAAGCGTAATTGCACATGATTTTTTTTTGAAAGATATTAATATTTTATTCAACAAAGATGCATTAAATTGATCAAAAGTAATAGTAAAAAACATTTACAGTGTTTAAAATATTTATTTTTCAAATAAATTCTGTTCTTTTGAACTTGGTATTCATCAAAGAATCTTTGGAAAAAAATGCATCAGTATCCCAAAAATATTAAGCAGCGTGACCTTTTCCAACTGTGATACTGTAACAATAAGAAATGTTTCTTGTAATAATTGAGAAAAAAAATTTGTAGTATTTCACAATATTACTGTTTTTACTGTGTTTTGATCAAACTAATGCAGTTTTGGGACTTCTTTGAAACAAAAAATCCCATAGAAAACATATGTGCATTTCTTTCTTTTATGGAACACAAAAGATGATGTTTTGACTTCCAGCATATGGACAAAAAAGACAAGAGAACTTTTTCTTTTCAAAGGAGAAATAAATATTTAGATATATGAATATAAGATTTGGAACAGTGAGTAAATGGTGACAGAATTGTCATTTTTGGGTGAACTATATCCCTTTAAGTGCAGAAGCTCATTCAGAATCTGCATCCACAGAACTCGGCAAAACATATCCACACATTTTAATTAGAATATCCATAATTCACAAAGTTCTACATAACTCCAACCCTTTGCATGTTAGTTTAATAAATAGTTTGCATAATTTAATTATACATGTATAGTAAGCCAAGTTTTCATCCACTTTCTTATGTTGTTATTATATCGTGAAAATCCTTTTTAAAAAGTTTGCAAATTTTTAATCCATTTTGGCCTTTAACCAATAAAATGGTGTGCATAAAAAAACAAATTGTCACATAAGAATTTATGCGTTTCATTTATAATTTATAATTGTCTTTACTTTATAATTGTCACAAATTAAAAAGTTCAGTATCAGTCATTTTTCAAATATTGTATCGACATTCACAATTTGTTGTTATTAACTGGTTTCCAGCTTTTTAAAACAAAATTTTCACTCTGAAATAACTTAATCTGAGTGTGTTCCAGTTTTTGCTTTGCAAAAAAACCTGGTTTGTTTTCAGTTTTTGTTTTCATTCTTTGAACCACTTTTATTCCTGAGAGAAAAGCTTCCCCAAAATGACTTGGCTTGTACAACTGTAATGCGTTCACAATACTGTTTGTAGTAAAAATTTGAGTAAAATGAGTAAAAACAATTTCAAAATGTACATTTTGTTAGACAATTTCACTGTGTGTGAAGTGTTAAGTTAGTCTGTCAAATAACATCACTTTTATCTGAGTTAATGCCCTTTTCTCAACAAAAAGTGTTTCCAAACGTTTTTTTTTCCCACAACATTTAAAGAATTGACACAAACAGTGTTGGGGGTAACGCATTACAAGATTACCTTTTTTAAAGTAACTAATATAGTAATGGATTACTTTCAAATTTTGAACAGAATATCTGTTACTTATTTGCATTGCTTATTTGAAAAATAATTGATTTTTTACACAAGTTACTTTTTTTTCTCCATGAATGAACTGATGCGTTGTGTCCGTTGTGTAAACATGATGGTTATTCTAGAGTAAATGTAAGCAGGCATTCAGTATTCCTCAAAATGAATAAAAACAGAAAAGCTTATTCCAAATATTACATTTTGTAATATGCCTTTACATTTTGTACTTTTGTTTGTTTTTTGTTAAGAAAAAAACAAGCAAGCTGCCAAGCCCAGGTGAGAAAATAAAGCAAATGTAACGCATTACTTTTCATAAAAAGTAACTAAGAAACGCAATAGTTACTTTTTAGGGAGTAACGCAATATAGTAATGCATACTTTAAAAAGTAACTTTTCCCCAACACTGTTCAAAATTTATTTATTTATTTTTTTTTACCAAAATAGCATTTCCATCAGCTATATTGGGGGAAAAAAATAACTTTTTTTCACACACACACAAAAAAAAAAAAATACTTGGATGAAAACTTGGCAAGTGTCTCACACATTTTACTATATTCAAATATAGAATTAACACATATTTTCTCCCCAAAAATCCGCATAGAATGTGGCAATATAGATTCCACCTGGGCCTAAACCTTAACATAAGCATTAATACATCTTAATTTTCTCCATAAGTCCCCAAAACCTCAAAACAAGCAGGCTCACTTTCAAAGGCACACCACTGGCAAACTAATTACAAAAAAAAAAAAAAAAACCTGTCCGGCAACATGCTTTAGGTCAGGGTGCTTGTGTGATTGTTTAAGAATGAAAGGAAGACAGAAAAAATAGACATGCCTCAGTCATGACAACAATACTACAGTGTGTAAATAAATAATTTACCATAGTTTCTACTACGCGCTTCTAAAACAGTGATGAAACACTAAAGGAACACAAAACATAAAAGTCTACAACTCAAAGAGTGGCTGATGATAGATCCATGTGCTGTCCATGAGTCAACCCAGAGTTTCCCCATGCTGTGCAATCAAACATATTTTCTCTTATTACTTTCAAGCCACACCCTTCAACAACATAAACACAATCTTCATATGTTACTCCATTTCCATACATACAGCTAATTCATTTTTTGGTCTGTGCAATTGTGACAAATGTGGTACGTTACAAATTCCGAAAGTGCTTGATACAAAACAGTGCTTAAACTTAAATAGAAAATTAAAAATACAGTACATAAGAGAAACAACTTGAAAATGCTGCAGATTTTCAGTAGTTTCTTGTTTTGCAGTGGCTCTAGCAGGCATTCTGACACTTAATACAAAACACAATAGTTATTTGATTTTAGGGTTTTTTTGCCCAAAATATTGCCATAAGAGGATATATGTGTTATAGGTATTTCCATTCCCTTTCTAAATAGTGAAATGGCTCATCCAGGTTGCAGCCACTGGGCGCCACTGTTGTGTCTCTGTCAGGTCCGTGCTGGAGCCACTGCAGCTTCGTGTGGATGTCAAAAGATCGCCAGGTTCAATCAGCACACTGGGTCGGTGTTGCAGCTCTCCTCGTGTCCAAATGACCTTCTCTATCAATCCCTCTATATTCCCCCTCATGCTTTAATTTCAGCCCCAGGTCGATCTGTTTTCGGTCATCAAGTCTTTGACCTCGTTTCAATTTGATTGACCTGAATAAATCCACCCTGCACTAACTCGCACTTTAACAACTCAAACTGTATCTTCCTCCTGCCTGACTCCATCCGAAAGTCCCTTCTCTACAAAGCTCCAACTTTTTGGAGGGGATTCACAAAAAAAAGCTGCTGCCTTAAATTTTTAAGTGCAATCAACTTCAACTTAAATTACATAAGTCATTTCAACTTAAATTACATTAAAATGACTAGTAAAGCAAGTCCGTCTTCCAAAAAATAAAAAAAAGGCCAAACTGCAAAGTCCTAGCTGTTTGTTGTCACTGCATCTGCTAAGAGAAACTGCAATAAAGTGGTTAATGCCGTGGTACTTTACTCTACACAGTATATGCGTACGGTGTCGTGATGGCACAGTGGATGAGACACATGCCTTTGGTGTGAGAGACCCGGGTTCGAATCCACTGTGAGACACCAATGTGTCCCTGAGCAAGACATTTAACCCCTAGTTGCTCCAGAGGCGTGCGACCTCTGACATAACAGTTGTAAGTCGCTTTGTATAAAAGCATCAGCTAAATGAGTAAATGTAATGAGTAAGTAATGATTCATTGACTGAAGCTAATAGGTTTTTTTTTGAATGGGTTCATGTTTGAATGCCTGTAATAAGGTCTGTGGTGAACACAAGCTCAAGATATTTTCACATTTTATTCTGACGTAATAAAACACATCAATTATACCCCATTTGTGGTTTTTTTAAAAACTTTAACACATTGAAAAACGTAGCTGATAACTACCATTTAGATAAGTGGCTAAATGGGACTACAGATGTTGTGGGACATCAAACGCCATTACAGCGAACAGGAAAACTTGTGTTTATACCTGTGCAAACTATTCAAAATCCAACTTTCCATCCTGTAAATAAAGAATGAGAGTGAAACTTAATGTTGGTGGCACTAAAGTCATGTGTTCGCAGTGTTCGTTTATGGACTACGCTTAGCTTTTTACTTCTGGCAATTTAAAATTCGTAAAAGTTGTGTTAATTTGTTGAGATTGTCATGATGAGCAAAATGTAAAAGAATGATTAACTTCTGTTGGTCGCAGAGCTTATATTCTGCTAATATCCAAAAGTCAATGGAAAAATTCTATAGGTTTTTTGTGTAGGGAACCATAGTGCTTCCAAGATGGCCGCTGAGTGTTTTGCCTTGAAAAGTCTAAACAGGATTACGGGGAGTTATAAGCTGAAATACTGCACTGATGCAACCGTTTAGTGAATTTGCCCCACTGTCTCACTATTTTGCTCGTTGGTTCTCTCCTCCCAGGCGGTAAGAGGCCCCTTTCCCTTTTCTATTCTCCATCTTTTGTGCATTCTGTCTTTTCTCACCCCATCGTAAGCATGACCTTTTGTCATTAATCAGTCCTACATTGTCCCTTTATGGTCCTCTTTGCCTTAGTCCCCTGTCCAAGTCTGTCTTTCCAGGTCTTTGTCCATTTGCTGGTTCTCTTTCTCTCTCCCCCCAGTTCCAACTCCTCCCTCCATCCTCACCCTTTCCCTTTCTTTCTCTACCTCCTTTTCTTCCTTTGACCACTGCTTTCCCCGGTGCCCTTTTATCCCAGCCACATGGCTCAGTGTATGTGTGGGTGCTCTTGTCGAGGTGGTGGTGTGGGCCGAACGAAAGAGGGCGAGGGAGAGGGGGAAGAACAGGGGGATGGAGAGAATTGGTCGGGACAGGAATGGACAGAGGAGGAGAGCTGCAGAGCCACTTCGTTCTCGTAACAAAAGGAGGAACGGGAGCCCTGGATGTACTTTTTCTCTGCTAACTCTTTAGCGCTGCAGGTTGGCGTGTCCGTGACCTCATAAGTCCTGTTGAAGTAAGAGTAGTCCACCTAGAGGCGGGGAGGACGCATGACAAGTACAAAGCATAACTACATGCATTTCAAATGAAGAACCAGTACAAATTATTGTAGACTATTAGCTCCTATTTATTTAGAATGTCAGACTGAGAATTGAATGTATTTTCATTTCAATCCATTGCAGTTTAAACTAAAGACTTGCAGAATTGGACACTTGAATTTAAGGAAGTAAATTTGTCAAAACAGTCTTTAAAGGGATAGTTCACTTTGAAATAAATTTTTGCTATGTCTTTGTTTCTGCAGTAGTTTCAATTTTGATATTTTTAGGTCAAACCGTTCTTGTCTATCAGTCATATAATGGAGGTATATGGTCACCACCTCAAAGTGCATGTTTCATTAAGTCCAAATTAAACATGATTTAATGACTCGCTAAAACATACCAAAAATTAATTTCAAAGTGAACTATCCCTTTAAATGTTACAGTTTTTATTATTCGCTTTGGTACTATTTTCACAAGTAAGGTGTACATTTTCAAAACTCTTAGTGCTAATATCACAACAGATCATCAAAAGTGCACTTTTTTCAAACATTTCATCATGTTTTCAACTGTGTTAGTACAATTCACACAATCACAAAGTATCCTTTTTACAACACAAAATAAGTGTTTCATCTACATTATTGTTTCATGCACAGTAACTGCCTTTCATAAAGCTCTTACTATCAAACTTTTGATTTGCATCTCTTTTTGTTCAGTTTAATACTTTTGTCTATTATTTAATCCAACTGATCTTAATGTTTAATCAATTAATCATTTGGTAAACCTATAGATTTTCAATTCAGCAATATACAGTATATGGATTTTGAGAACTACAGAAATAAAATGTGTGTTTGTATGAATATTTACAAGTAAATTACATGTAACCACACATGATGAATACTCGTTATAGCTAATTGATTTCACATAGTGGTAACCACAATTTGCCACTATGTACAGTAATGTGTGCACTAAATGTTATGTTTCGTTCTTATTTATGTAGTTACATTTCATTATAGAAAGTATACCTATGTTACAATTTTATCTGAAAAATAAAAACTATAATTTGCCTAAATGATTGTAGAGGATGTCTTCATTGATCCTTCACTTGATTAGGCCTACATATATGATGGATATTTGAAAATTATAGATTATGTACGTAAATGTTGGGTACTGTAAGTGTATTGCCTAATGTTACAGTAAAACTGTGTAATCTGTCTTTTATAGTACTGTAGCATATTCATTTCAGCACTTCTAAGGCCGATTTGAAACATGTATCTTGCATTGTTTGCTGTTGGATGAACTGATTGTTAAAAGTACTAAACTGAAAGAAGATCATATTGTTGGGTTTCAGTGATTAAACCAAATGTTCTCATTACATATTACAATAATCTTGTGTTTGAAATAATGATTATGTGGACTGAAAACATGTGCAACTGACTGAAAGCATTACATCAGGTTTTGAAAGAATGACTAGCTGCGTTACAAGTGTGATCAGTTTGGATTTTTGTACCAAGAGTTTTGAAAATGTACACCTTACTTGTGAAAATAGTACCAAAGTGAATAAAAAAAAACTGTAATATGGCAATGCCTTCTTTGAAAGTTTAAAACATCTTGATATTTGAAGGTTTTACAGGCCATAGATAGATAGATAGATAGATAGATAGATAGATAGATAGATAGATAGATAGATAGATAGATAGATAGATAGATAGATAGATAGATAGATAGATAGATAGATAGATAGATAGATAGATAGATAGATAGATAGATAGATAGATAGATAGATAGATAGATAGATAGATAGTCAATACAATGCCTTACAAACACTGTAATGAGTCCACTGTAACCACTACATTTCACTCAATCACTTCCCACCCTTCATTTCTTTAGTCTGTCTCTCACCTGGTAGCAGTTCTTCCTTTCAAAGAGCACAGGTTCAAAGCGGTGACCCCAGACGATCTCAGAGGCCAGGTATGAAGACCGGCATTGGGTTGTCATGGCAGTGGCCTCCACCATGCCCTCCAGAATCACCACCACTTCCAGCTCTTTGTCCCCCTCTAGTGTTAGTTTGTCCACCTCAAAGAAAGGGCTCTCCTCATCTATCTCGTGCACGATGGTCACAGGTGACACCAAAAAGATGCGATCTGTTCCATTGTCAAAGCCAACATTGAGGTCTGCATTGTCCAATGGCAGGAACTCACCCTCAGGGGTCACCCGTGACTGCAAAAAAGGTCAAAGGAAATGTTCACTTTTTCACACAGTTGTCATTTTTATTGTTTGACAGAAATGTCCTGTAGCCAATTTAGTTTATTTAGTCAATATTTAGGTTTCATATTTATTAATAAAAACTGTGCACATATTATTGTCAGGACACAGTTTAAGATTATCTAAGCTGATACAGGAAGTAATTACATTCCATTTTTTTTCTGTAAATTACAAAAAAATAACAATGTCTTTATGATGTATGTGTGTGCATATTGACTCTGGTCATTTTATTCCAGTATTTTTATTCATTATGCAATAACATAGGAACTATTAGAGTGTATTATTTTTTATTTGGGTCTTGTCTTATCTTCATGTTCAAACATCGATCTTACCAGAACCTGTTAGAAACATTTATGTAGACATGGACACGATAAAAGAAAAACATAAACCCCACACTCACAGACATAATACACACACTCGGATCTACTTAAGACATCAAGATTTCATTCACTGTAAAACAAAACATACTGACACAAATACATTAAATCCGACCGTTAAATGATGTCACACACACGCACGCGCGTGCACACACAGACAATGGTTTGCTCTAGTAAAGTTAATCTCCTCTACAAATCTTATAAACCTCCGGTATGAGGTTGAAGAAAACAAGCCCTCATTAACCACACCAACTGTCCAGATGTCAATCTCTCTCGTTCTTTTTCTCTTTCATTCGCTCTCTCTCATTTCGTCATGTATTCTACCTTTGCATGGTATTACTTTCTCATGTACACTACCCTTTAAAAGTTTACCCTTTTTCATGTTTTTGTCACTTATATTCAACAAGGCTGCATTTATTAGGTCAAAATATAATAAAAATGGTAATATCAATGTAGAAAACGGTTGTGCTGCTTAATATTTCTGTGTAAACTCTAAAGAATGTCTAAATATAAAGTTCAAAAGAATTTATGTGAGATAGAAATCTTTTGTAATATTATAAACACCTTTAATGACACTTTTGGTGAATCTTATGCCTAATAACAGGATTAATTTCTTTCCTTTAAAACTTTTGAATGTTAGTGTACCTTCCCAGTTGGTCATACCACATGACTTTGATTTGATGGACAAAATTTAAAAATCTAAATAAGCAGTGAAGCAATTGTGAAGCAGTTTTCAGTTTCCAGTTTCGGTTTTCAATCTGATCAAGTGTTTACATGTACATTTACATGTGAAGAGTTCAGATGCAAAAGCCTCTAAATGCCATTTGAAATTTTCTTCTTTAATGATGATTTTTATCAAACTTGTATATTTAAGTTCAGTAATTTCACTTAAATAACAATTAATAGGTAATTATCATTGCCATTTAAGTGAAATTACTGAACTTAAATATACAAGTTTGACAAAAATCATCATTAAAGAAGAAAATTTCAAATGGCACTTAGAGGCTTTTGCATCTGAACTCTTCATGTATTAATTTAGCTGACGCTTTTATCCAAAGCGACTTACAATTGTTATATATGTCAGAGGTCGCACGCCTCTGGAGCAACTAGGGGTTAAGTGTCTTGCTCAGGGACACATTGGTGTCTCACAGTGGATTCGAACCCGGGTCTCTCACACCAAAGGCATGTGTCTTATCCACCACCACGTGTCCTCTCGAACGGATTAGAAAAGGAATAAACCATCCCATTTAATCTGATCGAAATTTCATTCGTTTCATTCGCATAATTATGTTGTATTGAAGCCTTCATCATTGCTTTGACTTTTGCTTTTTTTTTACCAGTACCAGCTGACTCAGCTCGGCTCGCCTTTGTTTGGTTTTCCACTGTGTAAAAGTTGTACCTGTACCTGCTTTCGAGTACTTTGTTTTGTACCACCTCCGGCGAGGTCCTGAGCGAGTGAGAAAATGACGAGAAAATGTCACATGAAAACAATGTTGACTGCTGATTGGTCAGAGAGAATCGTCACCATTCACTGTCTCATCATTGCATGCACCAGATGGAATATCCAGAATAACCCCTCTATTTTTAAATAGTTTGCCCAGAGATAGTTACTAAACTAACAACTATTATTATGGCAACTCGGAAAAATACGGCGTGGTCAAACGAGGAGGTGCAGACTTTCCTTTGTTTGGTGGCCAAAGAGAGGATCCTGCGAGAGATTGATAGGGCAACGAGGAACGAAAGGCGTTGCTATGACGACCGGCCGGGTATTTGTGGCGGTACTGTCTGCAATGAAAAACGGAACGAAAAGCGAGCCGAGCCGAGTCGAGTCGAGTCGAGCTGGTACTGGTAATGGAAAAGCGCCATAAGTTGACATGCACATGCAAAGTTATTGTTAGCAGAATCTGTTGAAGGACCATCACAATAAAGTGTTAGCAGTCAGATATTAGGCAGTCAGTCTACTAATACTCTTTTAATACTCTAACGATAGCTAGTTGACACGTAGGTGCAGCGTTACTTATAGTCAACAAAATTTAAAAAGAACAATCAAAATATCAAGTGTTACCAAATTTGTTACCGATTTAAAAGACAAAAGATTTCAGACAAGACACACACGCACAACATCTTACTGACCTTCAGTATCTGTGCTCGTACATGGGCCTCCACCAGGTGGCTCTTGCGCATGTTTCCAACTCGCCACATAATGCAGAGTTTCCCGTCCCTCATGGCCACCACAGCCACATCCGAGAACACCAGTGTCTCATTGCGCTTCTTGGGCTTGGCGATCTTAGCCATTACCGCCCCAATGATGAAAGCGTCGATGATGCAGCCCACAATGCACTGCAACACGACAGCAAACACCGCCAGGGGGCAGGCCTCGGTAACGCTCCGGAAGCCGTAGCCTATAGATGTCTGCGTCTCTAGAGAGAAGAGGAACGCCGCCATAAAGCTGTTCACCTGCTGAAAGCAGCGTTCCTCCGTCTCCGCCACTGTCTGCACCGGGCCCGAGACCCCGGCAGGTTGCAGAGGAGCAAAAGAGGAAGAAACAGACGAAGGAGAAGAGGAAGATGACGCCAGGGAAGCCAGATCCCCGTGAGCGACGGCGATGAGCCAGAAAGCGAATCCAAAGAGAAGCCAGGAGAGCAAGAAGGAGAGGGTGAACACCACGAGCATCCAGCGCCAGCGGATGTCCACGCAGGTGGTGAAGAGGTCGGTGAGGTAGCGCTGGCCCCTCTCGCTCATGTTGACGAAGGTGACGTTGCAGCGCCCGTCCTTGCCTACAAAGCGCCGCCGGGGCCGGCGGGACTGGCCGCGGCGATCGCGGGGCGGTAAGGGAGAGAGGGAAGGCGAGGATGCTCTCTTGCTCCTCTCCCACCTCCCCTCTGCCCCAGACTCCCCCTTGAGTGCCGAGCCACGCCCTCCTCCTTCTCCCCCCCTCCTCCCTCCCTCTTCTTCATCATCATCATCCTCCTGCACATCATCATCCTCATCCCTCTCTTCACTCCTTCCTCCATTGCTGTGATAAGGGTTGAGCACTTTGCCATTGCAGTCGGGAGAAGGAAGCACGCCCGAATGGGAGGAAGTGACATCGTCACTTTGCGCCAGTCTCATGACTTCCTCCTCATCCAGAGGTGTATCCACAACTGCACTGAAGCGCCGCTTCACCCGAGCAGCCCCCATTACTAGCGACAGCACACAGAATAAAAGCGTTCAAGAGTTTGACAGATAAATCCAGGGTCAAAGTGGATTCAACAATTGGGATGTTTCCGCGAGAAAGTCGTTGATTGTATTCCACAGCGAGGCTTATGGCCTGAAACAGTCCTTATTGTCATTCAGATCCCGGCAGCCAATCGTTGCCCAGAGACGGAACACAATCGCATTAGAGATCATCTCTGACATCATCAGAGTCCCTCTTTTGAAGAGTCGCGTAGTCTCTACTTGAGCAATCTGTCCACCATAGGAAGCTGTCCGGTATCAATAAACTAGTATTCCTGGAATTTTTTATTTTTGCAGTGAATAAAGAAAAAAGTCAGTTTTAATGCAGTTTCTCAGCTTTAGAAATAGTTTTGACAAGGTCAGTTGGTGGGCAGAGACCAGACAGGGAAAACGGTGCTGCTTTAGGCCTATGCGCAATGTATAGCAACCACATAAGAAATTGAGCAGCTAAAATGCACAGACAAACAAGGCGAAGCTCAAGCAGAGCAGAGAGATGCAGAAGGAAAGAAAGGAACTTATATAACATGAACAGAAAAACATAAACAAGTCTCAAGCTTTAGAACATAAAGGGGAAGCTGAAAAGAACAAAATTTGACATGCATTAAAATAGCATAGAAAATATGAGTGTAATAATAAATGAATATAACAGCATGCATATACAGACCGATTTTTCCCTTTAGAACCTCTTCACATTTCCTTATTTAAATGGACGGATGTTTAAAGACACAAGAGAGACATGCAATTAATATGAAAACTGGTCAGCATTTCTCCACAGTTGTGACCAGTTGGCTTCGTTTTGAGCAAATATAACTCTGTAACACAGAGAAAGTCCATTTCCCAGTCATATTAGACATTGAAATAAGTGGCATTCTGTCACTGTCACATTTCCACCTCAAGTCTGGTTTCATCCAGTCTCAAGGCAAGAGCCCAAAGAAAGGGTCATTTTGCTCTAGACAAAACTTGAAGTTCTGTAACTGAATTACTGGACAATATCTGATAAAGAGAGTCCACACATTACAAAAAGGGAAGAGGTTTAGAGTGAGATGAATTATGACCTGTTGATGTACTTTGACCTCTCCGAAAGCTTAAAAATGCTAGACGATGCTTTGAGATCTTCCTCAGAGTCCAAGTCCAAGTCCAGTTTGGTCGTCAAAAAACACACGCAATTGTTGAAATATCCCTAAAAGTGAACAATAGGCCAGACAAGCGTAAGCTGAAGCACAAATAATTACCTTCATGGACTTAGAACCAAATGTTCAGACCTGATAAATGGTGTTACCTTTTCATATACCTGCTCTGAGAAACCTGTAGACCGAGGCTTAATGAACATAATAGAAAAAGAAAATCTTTAAAAAGGATGTCTAGTTTGAAAAGCCCACTGCACAGGAACATATCATTGGATGAAATAGAGGAAAACACTCAAAAGAGAATTAACAAATTGGAGTGTGGAAACCAAACAAAAAGACGAATCTTCAAATATCTACTGCCCTCACACTGACATTTGTGGTAGAATATATAGACAGGCCCCTGTCACGTTCCTTATTGTTGGAGTCTGCCGGGTTTTTTTTTTCTGTGAGGACATCACAATCTAGAACCCCTAGAGAGAAAACATATGAATATGAAGATTAATATGAAATTAAAGGCAAGATAAAAAAATATTTCACTGTGAAATGAAAACATGTTCAATTATGCAGATTATGTCTGATTATTCAGCTCTAAGAAACTGTCACAATTCCACTTACAGATTTATTTTATAGATTTTTTACACTTTTACACTTTCATTTCAGATTCATTTCATATATGAACAAGTGGAAAATTACCAATGCTGGCGTTTAATGAAGTACATAGATCATCCTCTGCCTTCTTTCTTTGCCCATTAGGTCAACATAAATCTGCTGCAAAAGATCAAATATAAAGTAAAAATTAGGGTCTTACAAAACAAATTCTCTGTCCCTCAAATTAAATCAAAATATATTAATAAAATACATGCAAACCTGAGGAATTTCAAACGATCAAATCATGTTTATTTTAATTCCCGTTTTTGGTTTATTTTAGTTCCCAAAATACCCCAAAGATATTTTTTACAGCATGTTAAAATTGTCCCTTTTTGAGGGTCAGAAAATTGTCTCTTTTTGTCTTTTCGTGTGTGTCCTTTTAAAATCAAATGAGCTACTGATCTTAAACAGCTCTTGTGTGTGTGTGTTAGCAGCAATTACCTCACACAGACAAGCTCTAAAATGTCAGACACTGTTCTGCCTGAAACTGGAGTCAGACAATGTTGGAGAGACTCAAGAAGAAGTGACAACATGTAGAATGCAACAGGACATTTCGGAATGGTTAGTTGATTAATTTATGTTGCTGATGTGGCGTTCACCATCTTCAATTAGCATATCCTGTCATGATAATCTATAAAATCGCTCATGTGGGAACTGTTGTAAGATGCCTACAGAGTGACATGCTATTGCATTTGTGTTACATACTGTATTGCATGTGAAAAGACGAATGCGACAGCTTGAGCAGTCTCACAATTCTGCTCTACTAAAACAACTCTTCCTCTTCTCAACATGGACTGCATGTTCCTGGGGGCGGGGTTTATGTAAATTTTAGGGTTTGTGAAGTCACTAACCCAGGAGGAAGTTTCTACCAGCCGTTTGTTGTAGTCCTTAAAAACAATTTCTTTAAAAGCAAATATCTAGCATTGAAACTTGGCAAATATTGTTTATGCTCAAACAGCTCACTAACTAAATTTAGAAAAGTGAAATCATAATCAACCACCCCTTTAAACAATAGAGTGCCGAAGTTACGACGTCACTCTGTAGGCCAAAACGTGGAAGTGAGTTAGCATTTTAGCATTACGGTTCCCTCGCTCTAAAGTCTATGGGTTTTTTGAATGGGTTTTTGCTAAATCGCCTGAAATAAGGTCTGTGGTGAACAAAGCCTCTAAATATTTTCACGTTTTGATCTATGACATAAATCACACAGTTATAACCAGCTTGGTTTTATAAACTTTATTGTGTCTGCTTGTGTTTTTTAAAATCTTTATATAGGCTTCAAAATGTATACATTTTGGATTAACTTGTAAAGATCATCTTAGACCAAACGTGTAAGGCTCACAACCCTTTGTTAAACACAGATCTTATTTTTTTACGATTTTCCTAAAGTCTATGTGGACCATGCGACGCTAGCTTCCGGGTTGTCCTACAAAGTGACGTCATCACTTCGGCACTCTATTACATACATTTTAAAGGTTTTTCAGCTCTTTTTCAGCTACACTGTAAAAAGGTTGCCTTTAATTTTTAAGTACAATCAAATTTAACTTAAATTACATTAAATTGAAAAAAAAATGATTGAAATCTTATTCAAAAAGCTGAACATTGCTGAACTTATTTTGTTAAAGCAATGTACAAAATATATGTTGTCATAACTTATTGATCATATAGTTTTTTACAGTGTTGTTAGTAAAATCTTCAATGTTACATACTTTCCACCATCACAGTAAAAATTGTTGCGTTTACTTTACGGTCCAGAATCAACCATTATATACATTTTAAATTCCATTCTGTGTCACTAGTGCCATAGAAATTACAATCTTCACTTAATCACCAAGCTACATATTTTCCCCTTTTGATAAGGCACAAAACTCTCCAAATCTCTACACATTTTAGCTTTATTTTTTAATGGCTTTAAATATAACACTGAAAGCTAAAATATCCAGTTAAATACTTCAAGTTTTTTCACAAAAATATTTGCTCACAGTGTAGTCACAGTGCTTTCCATGTCCTGCGTGTTGTTCACTCGGATCTGGTGAGTGTGTGTGTGTCTTATTTAATCGCCTTTGACCTCTTTAACCATTTCACATTATACTGTAACTCAACGCTGTCAGTCTGTGTCTCTCTCTCTCTCTGTGTGTGTGTGTATTCTGTTTCAGATCTTAATTGAACAGTAAACCTATTGATTAACACATAAAACAACACTGGTGAAAATACATCATTGGCGGAGAGCCATGCTGTTGATTGACAGCATTCATGTTCTCTCAGCTAATGAGATCATCCACAGCAGTGAGTTACACTCTCATGGTTTTGAAGATTTTTTCTATTCCCTTTAGCAAGTAGCTGTCATGATTTTACATTCAGTGAAGATCACAACGTAATTTCGGGAGGAGTGAACCCATATAATCTTTCAATTAAATGCCTGAGCATATAAGCAGCCGCTCACCAACTCCACCAACATAATTTAGGCATATTCATCATCCAAGCATTAGTAGTCCCACTGGGGGGTGTATCTAAGCTAGACTCGGTCAAGGCTACATATTGAAGTGACCCTATTATAGCCATTAAAATGCAGAAGTTCTGATCTAGAGAGTCCAGAGAATTGTACTGCACTGATTTTTGAACGTTATGATATGAAAACATTCACGTGATTTTAAACCATTTTAAACCAAAATACCTGTCTCGGTGAGTATCCTCATTAACACAGTCGATTTTGGCTTACGTGAACGTAAACAATTGAGAAAGAAAACGGATGTGTAGCCTATCAATGTATTAAATTGTGCATTCAGTCTTAAAGGTTGTATCAGTGATTTCAGGCCCAAACAAAAATGATCACATTCATCTAATCTTTCCTAACGATCCGCTATAGCTGCCCGCCCCATAAGCAGGCTGTCAAAAAACACGTCTCTGTAGTCAGCCTAGACTCTGAGATCTGCACGCAAAAACAAATGGGAACAACCACCACTCAAAATCCAAATAAACAGTGATCTAACCAATCATGACAGGGGTTTTTGCGCTTGTGCACGCGAAGTCGGAGCTGAAGAATAAGCCAGCATCTATCAACCCTATGCTATCAACGGACCAGATATATTTACGTAACATGGAGGAGGCAATCCACAAGAAGAGGACGAGGGAATACCGTCATTTTTCGTCAAAGAAACAAATAATAATCAGGAAGGCTTTTGAAATGTGGAGAGAACTCAAAGAATTGAACATTTTTAAATCCGACGCCAAGGTTTCTTCTGGACATGGTGAGTAGCTTCTAGTGCTGACTTTTTTGTATGTTAACTGCGAGTAAAATATAATTCTTTAAAAAATATAAGTGAGGCTCGACAAAACTTGGATCGCTCTAGCGAATATCAGATTGTAGGGATTTAGTGTGTGAGTTTTTCATGAAGCACGAAACGGGAGGGAGGGGCGAGCTAACTTGGTTTGTTTGGGATCTCGCTTCAAACACAAACAGAAGTGACGTTACCCACAATCGCTGATACAACCTTTAAAATAACATCAGAGAATAAAGTTCCTGCAGCTGTCTGTGCCATTAATCTAAATCAAACAAACTACAAAGAGAAAATCACTTTTGCATAGCTTTAACAGATGAAGACTATGCAGTGTTATTTTACATTTGATTACATTTCTGTACCTGTCCTGAATACTGTTTAACGTACCTGAAAAAAATAAAGCATTGCATATATAATTTGTAGCTTTGTTCTATTGTATTTTTCTATGCTTGTTATTTGGTCATTTTCTGTGCAGAGGCACTTCCCTAAAAAACATCCCAATAATTCTAGAAATATGAATTCTTTCCACATAGAGCTATTCAAGTTTTTTGTTGAAATTGTTTTCATATTGCAATATACAGTATGCAATGTTAGTTTTTGTCCAATATCATGCAGCCCTACCTCATTGTTTTTAAATGAACTGCAAATAAAAATACTAAAAGGATTTAAAAAATCAAAATTAAACATTACACAATTTAGTATAATATAATATATATAGATATAGATAGATATAAAGAATATACATATAAAAATTATATATATATATATATATATATATATAGAATATATATGTAGAATAATATATATATATATATATATATATATATATATATATATGTTAAAATTTAACAATGTTTAATTTTGAATTTTTAAACCCTTTTATTATATATAAATTAAATTTTATTTTATTATATTATATATATATATATATATATATATATATATATATATATATATATATTGTAGCATTGATCATGTGAACTTATTTGTACAAAAGGCCATTCTCAATTTTGGTAATTTTCAAATAGCTGAATAACATGATTGTTAAGCTGATAATATAATTGTAAATTTTAAAAGTATTTTAAATTGTTAAGATTAACAATTTCAGTGAACTTCACATGTACTAACACTGACTCTCTCACTTTCTCTCTCCGTATCTCTTTAACATGTTGGTGGTGTCTGGTGAAACGTCCCATGCTGCTTATGAAAACTGAGTGCTACTCAAACACCCCTGATCTTCTCAGCACGTGCAGCATTCAGAAGGACCAAGATACGGGGCCAAGGTCAGCGTGATATGCGGACGCTCCAGAATAACTGCTGGCAGAGAGCCAGAGCTGCAGTGCCAGGCTTATGTCGGGGTGGAGAGCCCTGATCAGACTGCAATTAACAGGAAACTAGCATCTATGCAAATCTATGCAAATCAGCTCAAATGTTACACAACAATTAACGTTCGACTGCATAACAAGGTTAATATGATCCATCTGACGCCTGAATATTTTAATAAAAGAAAAAGGGTTGTGAAAAGGAGCACAATTAAAACATTTTCACTATTGTTCCTAAACATAAAAAATGTTCCAGGACACTACATATAAATATAATTATTTTGAGAAGTTTATTTTCTGACCCCTTTGCACTCAAACTGCATTCGTCACTCTATCCACCCTGTATTCTGTCTCTCTTTGTCTTTCTATCCCTGTCCCTGATTACATGTCCATGTTCAAGTGTTATGGAGGGAGATTAAGGTCCATGCATCAATTCAATAACATTTCATACAGTAAATAACCTTTGATCTCTTCCACCCTCCCATACTCTCTGTTTCAACTTTTCAGAAAGCTGATGCGGATA